ATTTGCTATAGATTTCCGTTTAAGTACGACTTCTGCTTGACATGCGAGCAAAAGAACTATATGTTGGGCTGGGCGATTGGGCAAACGACTTGAGTTTTTGTATCTGGCGATTGGTGTGGCATATCCAAACCGCCGCGATTTGGAAAAGGTGGCCGGAATTCACAATATATAATGTCCATCTTTTCTGCGTACCTCTTCTTATGCATATCGGGTGGGTAAATCACACAGTTAGACCCAGAAGGTACAGTCATAGTGTAGCACCTGTCTGATCCGATCGGAGTGCCCACTCGCATAGTAGGGGTTGCACTGTCTCATACGCGTTATGGGGGCCGTTTTTGGATCGCAAAAGAGCCCACTCGCTCTTTGCACATATTTTTATCTACACCTGTACATTTCACGTAGATAGACATGTTGCTCATTCATAACATGTAGTGATAAACAACCCGTGAGTGCGAGGGTAGGGGGATACTCGGATTCGATTTCATACAGCAATTAGATGATACCAAACACGCTTATTGCGAAAGGATCTGACTAAACGTGCACACAGATTCATCTAGTCCCGAAACAGCTGAAATTTGTAACAGCTGTCGAGGAGTGGGTAGGACGGGTACCGGAAGATGTACGAAGAAAGCAGAGCGTGCTTTAGTTGCGCACCTTGACGAAGAAAATGTCCGTGTGTTGCCACATGTACGTCGGCTTTCAATGAGGAAACATTTGCTTGGTACAGTCAATTAAATTGTTTTGCGGGGCCTTGGAGTGTGGAGGTAACGCAGAAAATTGAGAGCAGTTTTGAGGTAGACCAGCAACTACCTGGCCGAGATATTGAATACCAGCAGCTTCGTAGCGGAAATATCGGTCTTGAACGCCACCCTGCGATCACTCGCACCTAAAACCGACGACCAGTGCTGCCATTACTAGCGTACGTAGTCACCCCTTTTCAGATGGAGCGAACCCCCTACGCCTTTCTCCCAATTGTGTTGCAACATTTGTACTGACGATTTAAACTCGGAAGCAAATCTTTGGAGATTAGCGTTGGATTTGAGCCGAGACAGAGTCCGAGGGTTAACACCAAGCATCATCAGGCTACGACGGGTTGCGTAGACGACTCCACGTACAGCGAAAATATCAGGGGTTCTTTGTCGGTTCAGGGCTTTGTCTTCATCCACTTCCACCCCCTTGAGCCCTCTGAAGAATGTCCTCATGTATTAGTACTCCGTCGGCACAGGTAATCGCTTTTGGTGGCACACAACTCGTAGGCCACTTCTGAAGTCACTATGCATAGACACTTTGACGCTACCCGCATTTATCTTATGCAGCAGAAACGCCTTGAAATGCATGGGGAGGAGCACGTCAAGATTAAGACTGCCGTCCTCGCGAAATAAATCGTCGTGATTCTGGCAAGTGGCGCGACCCAGGTGGAGATGCGATGCGACTTCGGGTCGGTAGGACGCGATACGTCTCCGTGTTTACACACCTCTTGGCGGAGGCTACGGATTTTGCTGACAAAAAATTGGAGCGTCAAAATTGGTTGTTTAGGAACTTAAAGGTTACAGGGGGCTTTAATGCGATTATTTTGGGTATACTATAGTTGGAGATTGTATTGTGCTTTGCATCCGCTCGCACTTCGTCGGAAATCATTCAGGCTTTGAGTGTGCTAGATCACGCAGGTGTTGTTTGGCACCACTTAGTGCTAATTAACCATTCATGACTTACAGCTGTTGGAGGATGTGGTGTCACACGCTCGCGGCTCCTCACCGCTCCCCGGGATCGCATGCGGACTTGCACTGGATGGTGAGAGCAGGATCGTGCGACTTTGCGCGTAGAGACTTACGACTCGTACGTTTCAGTACACAAACGATCGCTGAATGTTACTTTTCCAGTCTTCGTAGTTCCGCACGCTTTGTACTTGGACTTCTTCTTTTGCGCGATGTGCTGCTCACGAGACTCGAGTGGAGTCATGTGGCGTAGTAACACGCAAAATCGGCTGATGGACCTAGAAAAGAAAAACAAACTGCTCTGTTGTTTGTTATCTCAGGCCTGAAGGGGCGTCTCCACTATTCTTAAGCTCCTATACAAAATAACAAAGGAAACCAGAGGTTTTGGATCTCGGCCGACCCTCGCCCTGACTGGTGACGCTTCGAGCTCGTCTGAACCGGATAAGCCATCCGGACAACTCCCCGATCTCGGCTGATACGACCTTCGACCTGGGCTGAGCAGTTACGGCCTCCAGATGGTACCAAGTACCACTAGCCCGGCGTAGAGTTCTCCCGCTAGTACAATGTACCATTCAACGCATTAGCACCGTTGATCTGATATTATAAGATGCCTGGTGCGCTGTTCCACTACGGCCTTGGAGAGGGACACAAACTTGATGTTCCCTACACCACTTCAAGTCGAGGAGGGGGGGGGGGCTGGGACTTGCTCCCAGAGCTGCCTTTCCGCATGATTCTCGCTTTGATGACCAATTTTAACGGGCCAGTATCAACTGGCGCTGCAACACTATGTAATTCTCGGTATAAACAGCAATTGCGCTCGGAGGCGCCGTATACCTTGTCATTCGACCGTACGGGAGGTCCTAGCGAGATGGTGTCTTCCCGAACGGCGCAAAAATTGGCAGACATCAAGCAAGTGTTTGCTAAACTGAAGGAGAGTCTGCTCGATCGTGTTACGGATTCTGCACCGACGAGGAATCAGGCTCATTGCCATCTGCCGACGGGAAGCCAGCGGCGTGTCAGATCTTGGGTTCGTAACCCGCGACGTGTATTTAGATGCTCACACGGATCTGCACGGAGACCGAGTGGAACAGGGCTCTAAATGCCGGAATAGCTTTGTCAGATTGCGTAGGCTGGGACCTGACGAAGAGGCCTACGCTGCAGGCAGTAGTTGCAGGAATGAAAGCAGCCATGAGCTGTTAGGTGTGTCTCAGATGAGCCTCTCACGGATGGTTCCTGGAGAATAATCACGGGCTTCAACGTACCGCATCCAGCACGCGACAGTGTCGCACCCGGTACTCGTAGAGCGTACGGTGGCGGTGCAGTGCAATGTCAACACCAGCATGACGTTGATAAGCATTTACACGACGCTTGACCAGAATGCAGGCAGCAACAGTTTCGCGGATGCTTCCTGCAACAGAGTGCAGCGCACCCGTCGTTGAGGACCTACGCATACTACCGTCAAGACGCAACGACTAGGAGGGCCAAATTTTAGCCATTGTGGCCTCGGCGGTAGGCCCCTTAATACTACATCAGTTTTTTTTTTGTTTGGATATCACATCTGGTCAGGATAGCCCTGGTACATAAACAAACTGCGTCGTTAGACAAATAAAATGTTTTATCCTGGTAGTGCTACTGTGTAGTACGAGAAGCCCAATAGGGATTAATTCGGGGCCTCAAATATGTGGTCCACAGAAAAAGTAGGTATCGAGCCAATACAAAATTCAAGTGTAAGGGTCTTATAAATCTAATATTTTTCATTGAAAACCCAAATCTACTCATTTACACAAGTTTTATTACTAAGTATAGCAGGTGGAGGCTTAAATGGAACCTTACCTTAGCTTTTACGAATTTAATGGTTCAATACGTTATACGCATGCCCAAGTGCGTATGTATCGGTAACCGATCGCTTGTGTAAGAAACTACGTATGGTACATGCTAATTCCGGCTCACAAGAACATTTGCATTGGTGTATTACCGTACATTACATAGGCCTCCTGTTCTACCAATGTTGACAATGTGATCTTGAACGCGGTGTCATATAATCTATGTCAACGCTGGCCGTGCACGAAGTCTAGATGTAACTAAAGGCATTGGTGTCCGAACCTACACGTTTGTGTCGATAGGGGCACTCGGACTAGCTCCGAAAGCTGGGAGCGAAGGTTTTAAGCTCGGGAGCCTTTGGGGCCGCCCTCTCGCCAACCGCCCTCCAACAATCAACGGCTCGGAGCTGCTCGGCCTCCAATACGGTATTCGCCCTCGGGCGCTTCGATCCAAGGGAGTCATGGCGCGCCGCGCGGAGGAATCGTGGGATGCCACGCCGCGTCACCGCGACCTATCAGTGCGCTGACACAAGTAAGCTCGGTAAGATAGCAACAGCGCACTCGGTGCCACGACAGCGAGTATGAGCCCGCAGAGGGTGGGCAGCAACCGACCGCGCGGCATTGATATGTTGCATGGGTAGATCGGTAGATTGGCTGCTGTGTGTTGTTGGTAGCAGCGCGCTCGGTGCCACGGCAGCGAGTATGAGCCCGCGGAGGGTGGGGGCCACCGCTGCAACCAAGAGCACCGCGTCGATAGGTTGGGTGGTGGATTGGTAAATTGGTAGATCGGTAGATTGGTAGATAGATGTGGTGTTCTTGACAGCAGCGCGCTCGGTGCCGCAGTGGCGAATATGAGCCCGCGGAGGGTGGGGGCCACTGCAGCAATCGAGCACGAACTGAAAAGTGAGAAGAATCGTAGGAGAAGTTTTTATGGGCCGCGCCAAGTCCAGTTGTTTCAGAACTCTTCTCAACTTCCTGTGAATAATGCATTTTCGTACGCCATCGATGAATATGTGTACTTAGTTATCAGTACTATGAATGTACTGATTTAAAAATGTTTGTGTAAAACCCTCCTACCCGAGCCTTCGCAATAGATTTCGGAGATAACACAGCCCAAAAGATTTTTGGGTACTGTAATGCAAGCGTGAGTGCAAGAGGGGCTATATATAAAGGAGAACGGGTCGGGAAAAATTCTTTGGGTGGCGCGCGCATTTCTTAGCAAAATTCTTAGCGAAACTTCGTCTGTGTCGAGCTAGGATAGCAACCGGCATGCAAACCCTTCATTTTTACTTCCGCTGCAATTATGGACCCGATGCAAAGTGTGTTGTCGGTTGTTGGCCGCACGGAACTATCCAGCCATGGTAGTTTTGCGGCGGCTATTATTGAAACTTACGCCTTTCCGAGGACGGCTTCGTTGGCGAAGGCTGTGCAGCTTCGATCGAGAGAACTGGTGGAGCCTGTCGCGATGCACACGCCGGCAGACAAGACTAGCCAGCTGCGGCGCTTTCGAGGCTTTAATGTCGCGCTTAGTAGCGCGATAGTCGATGATCAATTGGATTTGGCAAACCTTCTTGTCGATACCTTTCATGGTGTGTGTATTCGCGATGGGGCATTGAAAGCGGTTTGGCAAGGTCACATTGGCTTTTTACAGCGCCTGCATGAGGACGGCCGGCTCGCATGTTGGGGGGAACGGATGTTGAACGTTGCTGTGCGCTCTGGGGAGCTTCAAACAATTGAATGGTTACACGGTATCGGCATTGTCGGCTCGGGCGTCGGACTGGTGACGGCCGCGGCTCGGCGTAGAGAATCGAGGTTTTTGGCTTGGGTATTGGCCCATACTGATGCGCCCGTGGTTGATGATGCGTTGGTGGAGGCGTGTGGGGCGGGGCGGATGAGGAATATTAAAGTGTTATTCCAGCGACTAGGTCGCATTCACCCCGATTGTGTGAACCGGGCCGCGGCTGCTGGAAGGCTTGATGTTATCATGTGGCTGCATGATCGCGGGGCTGTCTTTACGGCGCAGGCCATAGATGCGGCGGCTGGAGCAGGTCATCTGGAAGTTGTCAAGTGGTTGCACCAAAATCGGCATGAAGGGTGCACTTACGAGGCAATGGACGGGGCTATTTTCGAAGGTCACGATGACGTTGTTCGTTGGATTTTTGAAAATCGGGGGGAAAGGTGCTCAGAGTCCGGTATGCATTTCGCGGTATCGCGGGGCGCGTTGGAGACTGTTCAATGGCTACACGAAAATGTATTGCTGCAATGGACGGGTATGTTAATGGACGTGTGTGCAGTTTATGGGTCGCTAGAATTGTTGGTGTGGCTACATCGGCACTATCCGAATACGTGTTCGGCGGCAGCGTTTGACGGTGCTGTGCGTGCCGGCAACCAGGAAATGCTTGATTGGCTACAAGAGAATCGGTGCGGGGGCTACACTAGCGCGGCAATTGAGCTCGCTGCCGTGCGGGGCAATCTCGGTTTAATCAAGATGCTTCATCATACTGGAGTTGCTAGTAGCGCTCGAGCTGTCGGCAACGCGGCGGCGCATGGATACACCGACGTGGTTCGTTGGTTGCGCGACGAATGCGGGGAGGCGTGCTTTGTCTCCGCCATGGATGGTGCGGCCGGGAATGGATATCTTGAAACCGTTAAATGTTTGCATTCGGGTGGTGCGCCTTGCACGGTTGGCGCTATGGACTCGGCCGCAGAAAAAGGTCATTTGGAAGTCGTGATTTGGCTTCATGTGAACCGCGCAGAAGGATGCTCTAAGCGGGCTCTTGACGGCGCGGCGCGGAATAGCCATTTTGACGTTGTCGATTTTCTTCATGCTAACCGGGCCGAAGGGTGCAGCCGTCGAGCTTGTGCGTGGGCGGCGGAGAACGATGAAATGGAAATGGTGCAATGGCTGAAGTTATTTTACCCGGCTGAGTTTGACTCAGAAGCTGTTCGCTGAGCCGCAGAGCGCCTCGCGTGGCCTGTAGTCGTAGTCCGGAATCTATAGATTGGGTACGCCCTGTGTGGCCTAGTTCTGGCACGCTGATTAACTCTTTACAACGAAATGATACGTTTTTTGCTGCTAGCATCTATATTTCATTGCGGTTGAGATGGCGCTGTCAGTGTAGACGGATGGCGCTCGGCCAGAGGTCGATTGAGGGAATTCGACCTCCCAGGCGGGCTGCGTGCTGCTGTGATCCACAGATTGAAATCGCGCGGCGATGCACGCGGTCTCGTCAGCGAAAGGTCGGCTGAGGCAGACGACTATTACAGGAGGCAGACCGCGACTACATCGTTGTCCATCGGAATATTGGCGAGCTGGAGAAGAGTGAGTGGGGGGACGGAAGTTGCCTGTGCAATTTTGAGTGCGGCGTAGGGTGTGTAAACCGTGCCCGGAGAATTGAATGTTCCGAAGAATCGTGTAATTTGGGAGGGCTTTGTGGGAATCTCACATGGTCAGGTGTTGCGCCGGTAAAGTTGAGAGTTGGTGTTTCGCCCGGGAAAGGATACGGTGCTTGTGCCCTCGAAAAAAACGTAAAGGTTCGCTGGTGCGTGAGTACGTGGGTGAGATTCTGAACGAGCGCGGGAAAACGCGGCGATTGAAGAAGGGGTCGCAGTTCTACGTGATGTCGTACGGGGTCAATAAATTCATCGACGCCAGCCGCTACGGGAACGTTGCTCGGTATTTTAACCATAGCTGCGAGCCTAATTGTCAATCAGAGGAGTGGACTGTCTTTGGTGTGTATCGGGTCGGGATTATCGCTCTTAGTAACATTTTCATTGGAGAAGAGATCACATATGATTACGGAGACGACTTTCGTATTCCTGTATGTTTGTGCTCCAAATGCAGTAGAGAGCAAACCATTAGCAGTTGCCGGGGAAAGGATTTGTGACCTGAGTACTGGCAGGCCAAGACTACAAGACCGATGCGGTCGATGAAAGCGGTGGGCACGCCGTCACCGAGGATTAGCGCGTCTCCCTGCAGGGGAGGGGGCATTGGTTGTCGACGCGTGCTGATTGTGATGGAGAAGGCAATAGGAGCTCAATTAGTGCTACCACGTTTCTAGACTTCGCGTGTTATTTGTGGGTAATAAATCGCTTTCAATCAGAAACCTCGGCTGCCGAAGTCCATCCCCCCTTTTACTAAAGAGCGATTTGATTGCTGGGAGTCTGGTTCGGGACCTGTGGTTTTCTCGAGCTGCTGCAAGGGCTCGCGAGCACCCCGATGCGCGAGTTGGCCTTCGGGGCGTGGTTGTGCGCCATCCGTGCGGTGGAACGGGGCATAACAAAGTCCCGACGGCTGTATTCGGGGCGAATGTCCCGGGTATCGGAAATTGTCTCTATCATGCAGTATGGGTGGCAGCTGAGTTTGCAGGGGTGCGGGTTCCATTCGGCATGACTGCGTCGAAACATGTCTTTGAGCTGAGAGCGAAGGTTGGCCTAGAGGTTGTGCATCTTCTTGAGGAGCAGACGCTGCATAGCGCGTTTGGGCACGAGCCGCTGCATGTGGGTAACTTGGTCGCTAGTCCTAATCAGTACTTGGAGTATTCGGGGGTGATTCTTATCGCGGCGATGGCGTGCATGCTAAAGCGCGTTATTGTCACTCTATGTGCTGATGGGATTTACGTTACAACTCCCGGGGAACCCGGGCCACTTCTGCAAAATCCTCTGCACGAGGAACCCGTCGTCATTTATCACTGTGCTGCGGACTGCGTCGCCGATACTGTGTCACTGGATGAACGGAACCACTACGTCGCTGTTACTTTTGCTGATGAAGGAGCTCGGCGCGACTTCGCGGCAGCAATTCGGCGCAGATACAATTTCGAGGCGGAGCCAGTCCCAATCGATATAACCACCGCTAGCGAAGCCCCCAGCAAGAGAAAATGTGCGCCTTCTCGCCCGCCGGAGAAACCTGCAAAGCGATCCAAGCTGCAAAAAGAATATCCTGAAATACCGCGAAGCGAGAACGGCCGATTGGAGTATCTGATTGCTGAAGCTACATCGATTCCGGAATTGTCGAAAGAAGACTTGGAGCTCTTGCGCCAGAACTTCACCAAGCATCCGCGTCTGGCCTTACTTTACTTTCACTGCTGCTCTACTGATGATGCCTTCTACCTGTGTTTTTGCAGACGAAACGTTTGAAGGCGCCGGTGGCGAGGCCACGGTCGAACGATTAACGCGCAACCTCGACGAACCAATGAACGCTGAGACTGCAAAGTTTTGTCAGGATCGTTTTTGTGCGAGCTCTCGGAGTTCGGGGGATTTGTGGGGTGTGCGTCGTGCTGTGAATTTCTTAATACTGTCGAAGATCGCGTGCGGTGGGTGGCATTAGATGAACTTCACCAAGGCTTTCAATTATCTCCTTCCGAGCTGGTTGAAATCAAAGAAATACCGAGTTGGGTAGTGGAAAAGCACCTGCAAATTTATCGAGCGCAAGGGACACTGTATCATCTTAACCCAGATTTAGTCCACGATCCGTCCGCGATCCCGCTGTGTTGTAAATGCTGGGGCGATCCTCGTGCGTCCGAGTTTAGTATTGCTTCTGGTCATGATTACGGCCGGGGCGGTGGTTTGCCCGAGTTGGGGGAAATTGCTACCAAGTGCATTTCGCCGGTGAGGGTGTTTAAGGTGGAGGTGGTTGTATCGGGTAAACATAACATTGGACACTCGATTTGCTTTCCGTCAGATGGTCCTGTGGAAAGTTCAAAGGTGCTGCCCTGTACGTCTGATGAAAACATACCAAGAGTCACTTTCGTGGGTCCTCGTGGCGATTGGGCGGCAAGGAAAAAGAGCTGCAGCAATCTATTTTTGCTTCCCGTTGACGAAATGTATTCGTGGATGCGTGTCCTCATGCATACACACGAGTACTTCAAAACAAATCGTATAGAGATTGACGATTCGGAAACGGCAAAGGCTGCTCTACTCGCATTGCAATCGAGGATGGAGGAAGGCGGAGAGCGAGGAAGCTGAGGCAAAGGATGATAATATCGTCGCGGAACGTTTTGGCGAAGAATACAATGATGGTAGCGCGGATGTGCCGATAATTTCGAAGTCTGCTGTTCTGAAGGATGTTGACGGTTTAGATTTGGGTGTGAAAAACGCAGCCGTTGACGCGATGTTGTCAATGATCGATATCAAGTCGGCGGGCGTGGATAGCCCTCCCGTGGTAACCATTAGACGGGGGGAGAAACCTATCACCGAGTGGTCTCAAAATGGTGACATGATTGCCGCGGCATTCCCGTGTTTGTTCATGAAAGGCGGCAAGGCCCTTCCTAGTGGCACATGGCCTACGCCATTCATTAAACACTTGATGCGGTATTATGATGGGCGCTTTGAAAAAAATACTGCACTGGTTGCTACGCTGTTCAGCCAACTACAGCGACACACCGCCATTAAAAGAGCCGCGCAGGTTGGTTCGACCCGCCCTGCTGTTCTTGAACGTTTGGGGAAGTTGGCAAATTCGGATGATTTTAGGGAAATGCTTGTCCAGGTGAAGTTGGATCCTGAGTCCGCTCAGTCAAAACGGGTAAATGCGCATCTGCTGCGGATTTTATCTGTAGTTGGAGGTTGTGTGCCGTTTTCTGCGTTTGAACGGGCAACAATGCGGCCTAAGCTTGGCGCGTTGAGGGCTAAATACGGAATACCCCTGCACTGGGTCACCGTTGCCCCCCCCCTGAGCATCACGCCCTTGAGCTGCATCGTATTGCTGCGCTGCGAGAGCTGAACGCGTGGAATCAACCCGACGTCGTTTTCCAGCAAAAAGAATGCCGCCAGGAGGACTTGCCGGAGTCGGTGCACTGTCACGCCCGGGGAAGACTGGCCGTTTCGAATGAATACCCTGCTTTGGCGGCGCGCGCCTTCGAAAAATGTACAGAGCAAATTTTAAACGACATTGTTTTGTGCAAAGCGGCTAGTGGTACACGGATTTCTCGAGACTGTAACCAGCGGAAGGTGGGGGCCTATGGAACCATAGCAGCATTCGCAGCAGTAGTGGAGCCGCAAGCAGATGGACGTCTACATATTCACATGACGCTTTACGGATCTAGGTATAATCCAACGCTGCTCTCGAGGATAACCTGCTCTCCTGTATTGCGCCAGCGCGCTGCACAATTCCTCGAATCGATATGCTGCACTAACTTCGACGCTTCGGTGCATGAATGGCGCAAAAGCTGCATCGATAATGGAGCCTTGCCAAAAGCTTTCGAAATTCCTCTTCCGGACGCAGCTGCTGACTTTGGCGCTTTTCTCAAGGCTGCGCAAATGCGCGCAGCTACTACTCGCACACATCGACCTGTTTCAAAGGCAATCGAGGAAAGCAAATGTGTCGTCTGGCTAGACCCGCGGGTGAACACGAGGGGCCGACCTCGCCATTGATTGTTATCCGCGAACGCAAGGGTAACCCTCGAACCGGTATCAGGCCCATTGTGGTAGGCCACGAGTTGAAACCGCACATCCTCCGCGCTATTGACAACGGGTATTCTTACGAGATGGGTCAATGCTTCCGCCCGCATTGCGAAGGGCCAATATTATGGGAGCTCTCGAGGCCGGCGACAGACATACGAGTCGTCGAAACAAATCTTTTATTGGCTGCGTTAACAGCTTCCCTTACAAACTCATCGTTCGTGAATGGAGAAGACTCCGGGGATCTTGTTGAGGAATATCAGGAAGCGTACATGTCGAAAGTGATGCCCCGCTAAAAAGTGCTGCTTCGGCGATGCTCAGTGCTGTGGAGCATAACTTGAAATACCCTAGCCGAGCTAATGACTCCCAATCTGAACTGAGGATTGGGAAATATTTGGCGACCAGGACGATCAATAGTTTTTCTGGGGCGCATGAATGGTCTCATTCTCTGATGGTCTACGCGATCACCGGGCACCGATCTTTTATATCAAGCGACAAGTTTTGGTACATATTCCCGTTTGCGTTACCCTCTTTCGTGAAGCAGCTAAGACGCGACGGCGAAAAAAATACATTCCCGGCAAGCAGCGAGATCGAACAAGGAAGCATAGAAGATGAACTGACTGCTCTCGTTCAAACCGCCAATGATGAGGACTACTCAAAGGATGGGAGTTCCCGCCAGTGCGCGGGAAGAGGAGTGCGAACGTTTCAAATTGGCGGTGACGTTGTGTTCTTGACGCAAGCTGAATCTTATTATCACCGTGGACAGCGTTTTGCAGATTTCTCTCCGTTGGAGTTCGAGTGTATTGTTGACGTTCTACCGGCGGAAAAGGTCCGTGGAAAAAGTAGCGGGGGGAGCGGAAGACCGCCTCGACAAGGGTTTCCTTTTGCAGTTACTCACCGCTCTTCAAATCTCATCTCGGTGTTATACGCGCCAAACTCTTAACTCCGATATTTGGAGGTGCGCCTCCTCCAACGTGGAGCAATTCTGTTGACAATTCGGTTGATGAAAAAAATCGCAACAAGCTGGCCCGGTATTTACTGTGCGCGTTTACTCCATGGGAAACGATTGGCCCCACCTTGTCATTCGATGCCGCGGGACTGCTCGCCATGTGTAGTTCGTGGGATCGCTCTTCCGCCGCGTTGATTAATCGAGAGCGGTGTCGGTTCGCTAGAAATCTAATGAAGAAGGGGTTTCGCTGTAGCAGAAATGAGCAAACTGCTACGGATTGGAGAGATCGCGGTGCTGACTATTGGAAATCACCGAAATCGCATTCAAAGCAGCATTCATCGGGTCCATCGGCGGATCCAGAATTCGATGGAATAGTCTCCCCGCAGGGGGACCTGTACGAGCTACTGAGCAGGGCCGCTGCCGGTTCCGCTACCCGGCGCTCGAACATTGCATCCCTGAAATCGGCGTTTTCTGCACTGTTCCAGGACTATGACGCAGCGGATGGCAAAGGTGATTCTTCTGTTTCGCCTGCTTCGGAGCGGGGGCCGTCACTAAATCCTGTATTTTGCTTTGGCAAGGCCGATAAGAGCGACAGCTTATCTACAGTTGCGAGTTCAATCAAAACTTTCCAGGCCGGTGCGGCCGGCCCTAACGAACTAGCCCCAACCAGCGGCAGGGGGGCGGAGGTATCAGCGACCCGCTCGAAGCCGACTGTGTAATTGACTCATGTGATCTATCTGCGGAACAGCTCGCTGCTGTGAAATGTGTACTTAATGGCATTGATGAAGCTCAAAAGAGGCAGACGCTTACTTTGGTCCACGGTGGTGGAGGAACCGGGAAATCGTATGTTGTTCGCCGAATACATCAAGAAGTCGAGCGGCGTCGATATAAAGTTGTGGCTACGTGCCCTACTGGTGCGGGGGCATGCCAGTTGACAAAAGGGCGGCATTTCATTCCGCCTTAAAATGCGGCAAATGAGGCAGCCGCCTCTCCACGCAATCGGCGGCGTTCCTGCGGCAAGTATTCGATGCGACAGTCGAGCTAGTGGTGGTTGACGAGATCTCGATGTTCAAAGCGAAACATTTAGTTTTGCTGGATGAACGCCTGCGAGGACTCTGTGACAGCAGCCTACCCTTTGGTGGCAAATCCATTCTATTGGTGAGTCGACACGGTTAATCGGGAGTATAGCTATGACGTACTAACTGTGGGTTTTGAAACTTACCCAACAGACAGGAGATTTTTGGCAGCTCCAAGTCGTCAAAGGTATATCGCTTTGCAAATGCATGTATATGTAGACCAAGGACCCTGTCCTGTTGCGCGCGCGGTATCTGTTTTCTCTATTCACTGTCTTTTCGTTGGAGAAACAGCATCGGGCAAGTGGATTCCGCGTACAGCAACCATTACTTGAGCGCTTTCGCAGATTACCGGCCACTTACCCGCAAAACAATCGATGGGGGAAGGACGACTCTGTGTATCTTCCGATTGACAACGATATGGTCGCTTCGTTGACTCGCCCCTTGACGCGGCAATATGTCGCCAATGATGAGTCTTGGATTGGTGGATCTGTCGTGCTCGTTACCAGCAACGTTGACCGAGCTGTGCTAAACACTTGCATGGCTGCTGAATCCGCCCGGCGCAGTAAGACTTTACTCTTCCGCTGGAGGAAACCTATACTGGGCGCAATTGCAGACTTTTTACAAGAAGTTTTGTATAACGAAGCGGAACACCCCGAGCCCTTTGGGTATTTTTATTACGGGGCGCCGGGGCAGATACTCGACAATGCCAACGGGAACGTCGCGCTCGGGGTAGCGAATGGTACTCGGTGCTGGTATCACTCAATGGGCTGGGACGACGACGAATTAGTATCCCGCGTGCTACAACTTACTGAAGAGGCATTACGCCGCGGGGAATCACTAGTCGAGTTATCAGTGGCTCCTGAATTTATAAATGTCCGGCTAACAGACCGCGACGGGAACTTGCTGAGTGGATCCGAATGGCCTGACGACATGAACCTTGAATCCACGTGGGTCATGGATGCTAATGGGCGGCAGCATCACAAACAGGACGTTATCATTCCCGTGGGTATAGCGCAGTCGAAGGGCGATAATTACGCGATCAGACTTGATGAATCCGGGAAGAAGGAAAACCCAATTCGGTACGAACAACACGGCGTCGATTTGGCTTTGGCGTTGACTGTTTGGAAAGCCCAGGGCAGCACATTCGACCGTGTCATTGCGCTTTTAGAGGGGTCAACAAATGCGCCGAGTTGGCAATTCGAGCACATATATGTTGCTGTGTCTCGGGTGAGGAACTCTGAATCTCTCAGGTGCATGCAAACCACGCTTTTTCCAGACCGCAGCCATTTTCTCGCCCTCAGGTCAAACGTCTTTACAGTCAAGTGGCTAATGGACTTGGACGAGAACGGGCGGTGGAATCCGCGGCGTAAATAATAACGGCTAAATAAAAGAGAGTCCTCGATTGGATCACTGCCCATTAGCTATGCAACATTCACTTGTGTCTCTGGTGCTTGAATGTCGATATGCGCATGGCAAAAACAAATTCTGCAACGGAAAGCAGGTTAGGCTCCGGGTGTTCCCTGCGCGTTCGGCTTTCGCATGGAACTAATTCAAACTTCATTTGAATTAGTTCTACGACATGCATTCAGCCCGTTCTTACTAGGGCTTAGCGGGGGTGGGATAGCTCTCTAGACTTGCCCAACTCGCATTGCAAGCGGCTTTGGCGCGCCGCACATGCGGCGCGCAAGTCGCTCTCTGGACAAGGATACTTACCCCATTCAATATCATAATGGCATTATCCCTGTTTGCACTTCAAAGTTAGTTTTGGACTACATAAGTCACTCTGTGAATCTATCTGCGAATTCTCGGGGACTACTGGATGCATACTGGTATCCAGTGTGCACTTCAACTTTAGTACCGTTTACTTCCGGCTAAGTTTCGACGTACCAATCTATCAATTACGCAAGCTGTGTTAACTTTAAGCGGCGTGGTGCACGCGATATAATGAGGGCTGTCCAGCAGCCATACCTATCGGTAAATACTGCTATGCCAGCATAAATTCAACTCTCAAGCCCCCCCCCCCTTCCGAAATGTCTCCGAAAATTCTGCCAATGGCTTCTGGAGCACTTCCTAGAAAACCGCGCCGGAACCATTGCTCTCGCTTCTCAGGCTCATTCTTCATTCTCCAGTCCGGCCCAAATGGAGCCTCCGTCCACCGCTCCGCCAGCGCCAAGCTCCCACCATCATACTGGCACCGCCGTTCAGAAGCAAAAAAAGAAAGGCGCCAAGACTACCGGTAATCTCCTCGCATAGACAAAGAATGACAAAGACGATGCCAAAGTCCGTCGCGCTGCCGCCGCGCTTAAGCCCGATACTCCCGCCCCGACAATCGCCAACGCCCCTAGCCACGGTCGCTCTACCATCCGCAACGCTATCCAAGCAACCGCTATTTCCAGCGAGAACGCGCCTGAGCGTCAATCATCCATTGAACACAAACCCGCCAGTGGCCAAGCGCTGCATCCTTCGGGCAACAATCTACCACATCGCGACCCGCCTCAAGACAATACGCGAGACAATCCTCCAAGTCGCGACCCGCCTCAAGGCCATCACAAACGAACAATCGACCGCGCTTCCGATAACTCAGAAGCCGGCGAGCGCTCTCCCAAGCACCTCGCATGCGATCCGACCGCCACTGATGATCGCGCCAGCGTTGCGCCAGCAGCTGCAAACAGTGCTGACACTACGGTCGAGCCTGCCGCCGGCGCTAACACTGTCATGGACGTGGTCGCTGCAGATGCCGAAGCCACTAACACTCCCCCGCCATTGCCCGTCTTCACCGTCGCCGACTTGAACCCCGAAATTCGAGCTCCGTGGTCTTTCATTGGCCGGATCCTCGCCCGGAGCCCTGTTCGTACGTTTAAGTCGTGGCGTGCGTCTGGGAGGCTGTTTCGCGCTCATTTCACCGACCGGGACGGCGCTACTTTGCGCGTGACTGTGTTCAACGAAGGTGCCGAAAGGTTTTTCGACGTGCTCTCTCCAGGGGCGGTTTGCTCGTTCTCTAATGGGCGCATCAAGACCGCAAATTCCGTGTTCGCGCCGCCGAGTTCACCTGTCGAGCTCTCGTTCGGGGGTGACGCTAATATCCACCGAGTTACCGATGGCCCCGACTATCCAGAGCCTGCTTTTGCCTACATCCGACTCGCTGACTTGCCTGCTGCAGATCCTGCTGCTACTCCTACCGTCTCCGGAATAGTCGTCGACGTGGGGCCTCTCAGAGACATTACGACTCGCGCGGGCCGCAAGACTTTGAAGCGCGAATTCCTGTTGGTTGATGACTCCAATGTCGAGGTGGTATGCACAGCGTGGGGACAAGACGCCGACGAACTCCAAGATTCTCTACAGGGCCATCCTATTCTCATTCAAAACGGCCAAATCTCCGATTACATGAATTTCCGCTCCGTCAATATTGGGGTCCGGTCTACCCTGCTCCACCAACCTGCGACTTCCCGGTCTGCCGACTTACAGCGCTGGTTTGCCGGGCTTCCAGCCGGCCACGCCTTCACCTCCATGCACGCGTAGGAACCACAGCTACCGACTCTCTACCTTTCCATTCCTTCCAGCATTGCTATTAATTCACAATTCAATGGATCCGCTTTATGATTGATTTTCCTTCCTGCTAAACAAAGCGCACTACCAGCCCAATCCTCTAGTTTTATTAATGTCAAACAAGCGGTGGTAGCTTAAAAAAAGTGCTAGCTTTCGTTGGACGATACTACAATATTTTGTTTTCTAAGTAAGCATTACCGGCTGATACTTTGCATCTACAGTTTTAAAGCAAATTTTCGACCGAGGTTGGTAGAAGAAATTAATTAGCAAGCCTTCGCGGAGCCCTAATTTACGCTTTACTGTACGGAGTTAATCCTGTGCCGAATACGCAACTCATTTGGGATGACCTATCGGCCAGTATCACAAACCTTAATTATTTATCGTTGAGAGCGGCTCCAACTGGTGTGATCTTCGCTTTGCTGTTGTTGCCGGAGATTTTAGTGGGCTTGCCCCATCTGCAGCTGTACTGCCCCGATAGACGCCGTTGCTGGTTAAACGCCGGTAGTTAGGCGTGCTGCAGCTCGAGGCACCCTGACGAGCTTGTGTAAGAGTCGATTGCCCAGCAGCACTCAATTTCCCGCCAAGCCTGGGACCTTCTTCCGTTGAACCCTCGGGAGCTGTCTCAGGACGGAGTTTTGGTAGCTCGTCCCCACAGGATGCCAGGGTGTTGTGACTCGCTGGAGTCGGTGTGACAGCGCGTCTACCTGCGAGCTCGTAGTCCACGTTAACCCGCACCTTCTCTGGTTTCGGGTCCGCCAGCAGTTGGAACCACCCTAGCACTGCGTCCGAGCTGCACACTCGCGGGGGAGCAAGAGTCGAGCTCGGTCCTGCTTGAGTTTGCTTCTTTGGCGATACCACAGATGAACTTGCCCCCAGCAACTTCCCCCCCGACTTGCCCAGTTGCGAGCCTTTTCGACGACTCGCACTCTCATCATCACTTGCATCCGAGTACGAATCCTCGCCCTGGTCTTCCTCTTGCTCGCCCGGAGATAGCGTCCTTACGGTCAACGCGCTGTCAACGCGAATCGCTGTGGTTCGACTACTCCCCACTTCGATCTCAGGCCATGATGCGAGGTCGGTGATAAGCACTTTGGTCCAGTCGGGGGGAGCCCCGCGTTGTTCGATGGCTCGGTTCGTAGTCCGCAGCAGTGACACCGGTTCAATTACGATAGGCGGAGGGTTGGCGACGGCATACAGATTCGTTGAGACATTGAGAAGCAAATCGTGCTGGTTCGAGTCGGCCAGAGCTGCGATGGCGGCAACGATTCCCTCCTGGACCACTTTATTCACGTGCGGTTCGTCCCAGTCGGCAGCGCTAGCGGTCGCAGCGGCCGTAGCTGCTGCTGGGTCGGCATTGCTGGGTGGTTGCGCTGGAACAGGCGGAGGTGACTGCGTCGAAAGTGCCTGAAGTGCCAATGCGCACACGTGGCGCTGGAAGGGTAGCACCGCATTCGTGCCAAGCCTCAGAAGAACTTTCACTCCGTCATTCTTGATAAGCTGGCGCTTGCTCCGACGCAATCGCGCGAGGTTATAAAGCGCCACCACCACGTGCTCGCGTGTTTGCGGGCTGGTGGACTGCGAGAGCGTCAGGACGATAGGCACCAACGCTGTCTGCGAGGTCAGTCTCTGGCTACGCACGTCCTCCGCCTTGCTCGAAGTTGTTTGAGCAATGTCACTGTCAATCGAAGGAGGACCTGCTACTGACGATGTAGGCGGAGCTTCTTGGCGTGACAAATTGCGGATCACGACCATGCAATGCAGAGCGAACATCTCACCGCGCACACCTATGAGGCCCTTGAACGGTGCACGTGCATCGCTGGCATTGGTCGCACACAGCAGCGCGAGTGCGTCCAGAGCGCCGTCACGCAGCATGCCATCATGACACCGCGGATGGATGGACAGACTGCTCAAGGACGTGACGATATTCATACAGGCCGCGTTCTCTTCAGCTCGTGTCGTCGACCCATCCATTGCTCCTTTGGCGATTGCCACCAGAGCTCGAACAATTCCATCCTTTACGAGTCGTTCTTCGTACAACAACTCACCAGCATTAGTGGCGGCAGACCCAATGTTGAGCTTAGCGAGAGAGCAGATCATATCTGTAGCCACGCGCAGAGTTGGCCCCTCGGGAGCCATCGCAGGACTCGTGAGAAGTGCTGCTAAAGTCGGGAGTCCATTACATGCGATGAACTTGCGCTGGTTTAACTCCAGAGAGAAGAGGTTGCGCAGTGCAAAGACACAGGCGCAATTGGTCTCGACGCAGATTGAGGCTGGCGTCGACGACCCACCCCCTGTAGGTGTCGACCCCGTTTTGGTCTTCCCACCTTTCATTGCATCGTTGATGACGCTCACAACAGCTGAGGCAGCGTCGTTCGTCATGACTTGCACTGCGACAGAAGACGCCGTGAGGTTCGCGAGGGTCTTCGCTGCATATTTCCGCACGTCTCTGCTTTCCGACTTGAGCTCGGCCACCAGGATTCCTAGCACGTTGCTCTCATCGTGAACAAGAATCTCCGCGACGCGGGAGTCTGTAGCGCACGACAGATTGTATAGCACATTGGCGACGTACAGCTTCATCTCTGGGTCACGCACTTTGGCCAGGTTCTTCAGAACGCCCAACGCACCCTCCTGAAGCATCTGCAGCTCGACATGCTTGGCCGTACTCACCCCTTCAGAGTCCTTGGTCTCATCTCCATTGCCGATCGAGCCGCTGACACTAGCGCTACTGCTGAGAGTACAGGAAGCACTCGAGAGATTGCTGAAGATCCCGACCATAAGCCGCTTCATGGTCTTGTTCAAGTCCGCTTGGTACATCTTGGCTAGAATGCGCACGAGCTCCATCTCCAGAAGTTGCGTCGTCTTCTTGGGGTCCAGAGAAATATTGTACAGGGCTCGCAGCGCCAAGTCACGGATCGAATCACTCTCAAGTCGTGCGAGTTTCAGCAATGCATAGAGGACGCCGTCTCGCATGAGTTGGTCGCGTGCATCTTCGTGAGTGAGCAGGTTGAACAGCGCCTTTGCACAGATCCCCTTGGTCTGAGGACTATTGACTCGAAGCAGCGTAATGACGATGAAGTCGTCCACAGTTGCATCGCGCCACACTCGAGGCAGGGGCTTCCCTTTTGCTGGCGTTGGCCGCTCAGCCGCCAAGTTACACAATGCAATCGCCGCGCAAACCTGCGCCTCATGAATACCCGTCCGCATAACCATGTTCAGCGCAGGTGGGATGTCAGCGTGCTCAGCCAGAAGTCTCGGACCTTGCGGCACTGCCAGAGCCACCTTGGCGATTGTCAGCGCAGTTCGTCGCGCGGTCCGCTGCTGCAGAGCGACCGTCGACTTGGACAACCGCGAGTTCTTGGAAGCGGACTGCGTGGCAAGAAGTAGCAGGCACGCGAAAAACGCCGGCGCATCCACCGGGCCGGGTCCGAAGCCTGCGGGCACACTGCTGCCACTACAGATCTCATGCATCTTGTACACTATCTGAGACGCAGCGTACTGAGCCTTGATAATACTTCGGTCCGTCAGCGCATCGCGTGGTCGCTGGTCTGCAGCCGAGGCGATCAAAAAGTGTTGGATGGCATCGAGAACTCCGTCATCAAGAAGCGAAGGGCGCCTGGCAGTATGGGAGGCGAGGTGGGCAAGCGTGGCCAAACAGTCCAACCAGAGTGAGTATATCGTGGCCGGTGCCTCGGCTGAGCTTGGTTTCTGCAGGACGCGCACAAGTAGACCCACTGCACCCTCGTAGTAAAGCAACTCGTGGTTCTCCGATCGCGACGACAAGTGGTGCAAGAAGCTAATGCAGACCCCGCAGAGCTCAGCATTTGCCAGATTTCTTGATGCAAAGGCCAACATGGTCGGAACGGCGCCTACTTGATCGTTCGCCTCTTTCCCGTCGAAGCGCTTTTGAGTAGCCTCCGCCAGTCGAGTCTTCATTCCCGGATCTTTGGCAAGCCCTAGCATCGCGTACACGCAGGCCTTTTGAATCTCCTTGCTGCTGTTGCTAGCACTCGGTGCTGCGGTTTCTTCGTTGCGGATGAGATCCAGGAAGGCAGGAACTACGCCGGCGTCGACCAGCGCCTGGAAGTTGGCAGGATGCAGAAGGAGGTTGCTCAGCGCCGTCACACAGTCCAGTTTGAGCAGCAACGCAGCAACCCGTTTGTCGCTTTGGTTGTCTGTTGCGCCTTCACTTTGATGCTGCGCTTCGGTGATTGCCGAGCCAGGCAGATCGGGAGCATGCAACAAACCCAGGAAAATGGGCACAGCTCCGTCCTGTACCAGCGTCGGGCGGCAGCGATCGTCCAATGCCAGATTTGCAAGAGCCACAACCACGAACTTCTCCGTTTCAGGGTCGATACTTGCACGCTGGGTCGAGACTGAAACAGACATGCGACGACCACCACTACTTGGAGCTACATGGCTATCATCATCGCTGTAATCGTCGTCTTGGTCGTCGTAGCCATCCTTTCGGAGAATATTCAGCAGCTTCGGGATAAAGCAGGCATTGCGAATGCGAACTTGAAGTCGGGGATTGCAGCAGAGCATCGCGATGGCGTTGACACAGTTCTTGCGGACCATGCACAGGAGGGATGTCACGACTGCCTCCCCTTCGATACTATCCGTGTCTGCTTTAGTTGTCCCCTGCATTTGCCGTAGCTCCGCCCCCACGTTAGTGAGAATATCCGACAAAATGTTCAGCACGCTGTTCTTCGTCAATGCGTCCTGGTTCGTCTTCACTGCCGCCAAGTTGCACAGTGTGCATGTGATGGTCTCCAAGAGCGTGAGCTGCAATGGCGGTCGAATCGCCACCGCTGCCAGCACTTCCAAGGCAGCAACCGCTCCTTCATCCACAATTACTCCGCGTGTCGTGGGGAGTATCGAGAGGTTCAAGATTGCCTGGGCGCAAATCTTTCGCGTCGCAGTGTCCCCGTGTCGAGCCAAACCAACGACGGTGCTTAACAGAGCGTCGCATGTGACGGCGCGCGGTACGTCGGACAGGTTCACGAGCGCTAAGACACAGAGCAGCTTCACGTCGTTCGGTGTAGCAACGCACGACGTCATGGCGGTGGGGACCGTAGCCATGATCTGGGAGAGCGCAGTCACAACACCTTCGTGCACCATGGCGAAGTGATGCGCCTCGTCGATCGTGAAGCGAAGCAGCGCACGGGCACACAGAGCCTTCACAGTTGGGTGGGGAGTGTGGACGAGATCCAGGAGGGCCGCAATGACGTTCTCGTCCATCATTTTCGCGTACAAATCCCTAGTGGCCTGGGAAGGAGCCATCGCCATCGAAGCCGAAGAAGACGACTGAGTCTGCGCCTTCTTCATTGGAGTTAGCAGCGGCGATATCGGGACAAGGACGTAATGCGTGAGGTTCAGAATCGCCGCGGCAGCGTACAACCGGATCGCGGGATCGTCCTGCTTGAGTAAACCTGAAAGCGTCGCGAGCGCTCCCTCACGCAGAAGCTGAGCCTCGTAGCCCTTGTGACACGAAATGCTGTACAGACCCTCGACCGACTTGAGCTTCATGTCCTTGGTCAGAAGTGTCGTGTTCACGGCGCCAGTGAGGATGGGGGACAACGTCACCGCTGGCATCTGATTGAGCTCTCTTTCCGCCTCTTTGTCACTCGGTGCCGGGACGCCAGCGCTTTTGTGCTTGCTGCTGGCATCGGATCCCAGCAGAAGGCGGTTCAGTGGGGTGGGCGCTGACGCCGACGTTGTAAGGAGGTCTTGACAGGGATTGTGGCTTTCAGACTGGAAACGGGACTTGTCGATTCTTGACAAGTAGATCAGCCCTTCGTCATAGTCGCCGCGTTGGTAAAACAGATCCCCACCGAAGTTTTTCTTCTTGGCGACAGCCACGACTTGCTCCCGATCGTTATCACCGCCATTCTGGTCACCTTCTGCACTCCCATTCACGTTCCCACCTCCAAAAAAGGTCGTGAGGTCTCGAAGTTTCCCGGGACTGCCATCATCAGCCCCGCCCAGTGTCTTGCTACGGTACTTGTCCTGTGCTTCTTGTCGGCGCTTCTTGTTAGCTGCCTCGCTCTTAATATGCTGCAGCAGGGCTCGAACGAGGTCGTCTTTGTCCGGATGATCACGCCAAAACCCGCGCTGTCGGTGCAGTTTCCAGTGCTTGACGAGCTCCTTCAGCTCCTCGAGGCGAATGGGCGAGTTGTGCGGGTCTCGGTTGCGCGGAAAGAGGTTGTACTTGATGAGGTACACGCGAAGCCCGTCGATCTCCTGGTCACGCCGCAGCGCTGCCAGCCGCTGCTCCATATTCACAGCGCATTTGGGCGGGTTGATTGTCATGGGTGCTCACTCCGCGCAGGCGGCAAAGCTCGAAGTGCTGGCTGCATTCTGGACGGCGATGCTATTTATGCCAAGGCGCTTGGCCGTTGCTGCTTCATGACAAAATTGGGCTATGATATCACAAGGAACCAGAAGATTATCCTGCTAGTGGGTCTCGCACGTACCGAGTTGCACAGCTCCAGTCCATGCCACCTACACGAACGCAGTTGTGAGAACCACACACAGGGAGTCAATTGTTCATCTTGCCTTGCATTTAGAGGCTAGCTACAACTCCCGCTCGCTCGCGCTTGCGGTTAGTGCTTTTTCTTGCGAGGCTTGGGAGACGGCGTCAAGTCCACGACGTAGAAGAGCTTCTCGGACATGTGATACGACCGTTTGTCTCCATCGTCGTACGCGACGAAGTGCTCGTACGTATCCTCGTTGAACTGCTGCACAGTACCTTCGTACCACTTGTCCTTGGCCCATTTCACGCGCACGCGTTTGCCGACAAGTCGTTGCGGGTTATCGTCGCTGTCGTAGAAGGTTTCGACGACAGCCTCGGGGTCCAAGATGCTTCGGATCCGCGGCAGCAGCTTCGTGGTGGAGCGGTCGATCGCCTTGATGAGTCCCGAGCTTGTGACGCTTACATTCACCCACGATGAGGTGCTGTTAGGCTTCACCAGGACGGTCTTGCGCTGCTGCAGATACCCCTCAGCTCCGCGGTGCGCCATGAGCCACTTCTCCATCCACCCGCAGCTCTGGCGATTGTCTCGTAGCCATTGAGTTACCCCACTGTGCCGCTTGGCAAGCCTCGCAAGCATGTCGAGGGATGTCTCGGTGGCCTTATAATACCGCTGTTGCGAGGCCATTACTGCAACTAGCTTCGTGAGGCTGTCCGTGAGGCGCTCCACAGCCAAAGAATCTCGAATCTTCAGCAGCGTATTCAGCGTTCGGAAATACGGCTTGACATCATGATGGTCCTCTTTCTCGATTCCATGCATGATCGTTTCCACGAAGGCCCCAGTGACACGTCGACTCTCCCAGCACAAATGACTCACAATCTGCTCCAGCGGCTTCGTCTCTTTGGTGTAGTGGTTGGCGCGCTGCGTGAGCAAGGTGATAAAGCGCTCGTTAAGCAGTACGTCGTGGTCCGCCGGCGTCAGATCCACGTGATCATGGGCCATATTAGACGGCAAAATCAACGGATGTGCGTCGTCTGCCTTGACATCCATTGCAGGGGGTAAGCTGCAGCGAATAAGCACCGACAGCAGCTTCAGAATCGTAACGCTGAGGTCAATGCGCTTCAGAATCTGTTTTGGCTTGTGCTTTTTCAACTGCAACAGGAGCAGCGGCTGCGTACTTCCGAGGCCAGTGAGTAGCGCTACAATCGCACCGACAACACTGTTCACCACGAGGAAAGATCCTTCGTTGCGTCCCGTCTGCACAAAGTCATACATCGTGAGGAAGTACTGGTGATGATGCTGGACAGGAACCGACAGCAACGCTGGCATCAGCTGGATCAGGAAGAACATGAACTCGAAAGATGCAGGCAGTTGCTTCTTCCCGTCACGAGTTGATTGCTGTGCATCTTCATCCGCCTCCTCCTCGAATTCCGTGTTTGATGTAGTCACGATGGCTTCCGAGAGTACGTTTGCCATCAACTCTCGAACCTCACGATGCTCGTTAAAAACGAGTAATTCGAGGAGCAGCGACTCATTCGCGCTCATGGTCGCTAGGAACCAGCGGCAGCCACCAATGTCAGAATGGTAGAGCGATTGAAGGATGAGGCGCCATTCCAAGACCTTGCTCACGTCTCCACCTTGCCACAGAGTGCCGAATACGAACTTGGTCGCCACTTGCAAGGCTTCAAATTGCACTTCAACGGGCTCGAAGCGCGGCATAACAGCCATATTCTTGGCATTTTCTAGCCCCACGAGGCAAGACCTGAGGAGATTGTACGTGAACTTGAGGCACCGGGTGTCGTACAAATACCGTTTCCGCCAGAATAAGCGGTTCTCCATCGCTATAAGCTTGCGAATCGGTTCAGGCGCGATTACCTGAGTCATATTCCGCAGATGTGCTAGCCGGGCTGCAGCACGCCTCATGAGTCTTGAGCAAAATGCCGCCACAAGCACAGCGCTAGCGAATTTGACACAGGGGGCGTCTTCATCGGTGACAATACGCACCTCGGGGGATACTCGAGCGTAAAATAGCATAAAGCTGCTACGGTTCTTCATCTTGGTCGGCATCGGAGAACCTTCCTCGGGCGATGATCCACTGGCTGAACCTTGGCGAGCGCGCGTCTTGTCCTCACCACCAAAACATTCCTCTGGAATTTGAGCAGGATCAAATGGGGTGACGAAAGTGTCGTTGAACTCGTACCACTGGTTCTTGTCGCGTGGCACTTGCTGGTCTCGCAAAAATGAGTAATAGTGGCCTGAATTGGCCGTGCCAAGATGAACCACAGTTCCCACCAGCTCATATTGCGAGTACTCCGGCGCTGTCGTTCTACCATCATCCGCATTATCAGAAGATGTACTCAAACGAACGTCGTGACTGGTTGAGCCATCGTCCGCTGATGAAACCGATCTTTTTCTCTTCTCTTGCTGCCCTTCCTTGGTGTACGGATACATGTCCAGCTCGGTGGGGAATTCAAAGCGGTCATGAAGCTTGATTTGCTGCATCTTCTCGAAGTCGAACTCGAAGCGCTTTAGGTGAATAATCAGATATGCGGGTAGCTTCGAAATCGAGATCCGCTTGTGCGTTTCCAGTGTCACCTTTTCTTCCTCTTCACCATCATTTGCGGCGCTCTCTTCACTTTTTGAGCCACTTCCCTTCTCCCACGTGTAGCTTACCTTTTCGCCTTCCACCCATCCGTCCAGCGACTCTTTCAGGTTCTTTCGGTCGCGAACAGGGACAGATATGAAGTGAAATGGCTCAAAGCGCTCGCTGTAGCGGTCACCCTCTGCAACTAGCTCGTTGCTAAACTCACCGCCGAAAAACGTGTTCAGGATATTCTCGTCACTGGTGTAGTGATCGCCACCTCCAGCACTGATCCCATTCATTTCCGACTCGATTTGTTGGAAGAAGGAGGTGAGAAACTCGCTGGCATCCTGCTGAACATTCACATCCACCGTTTCACCGTCCCACGTTTTCATCGCGCGGGTGAATGGGCGCGGGTTATAGTACGGCTTCGCGCTACCCTCCAAGTGAGCGAACAGCGACTGAAGCTCGTACGTTAAGCTCTTCACTTCGGACTTCTCGCTTCCATTCCCGCTGGATTGAAGGCGCAGAACCTGACGACGGAACCGTGGCATCATGAAGAAGCTTTGGATCGTCGAGTTCAAGTAGCAAGTGCATCCAAGGTTTTTCAGGCCCACGTACTTCCCCCGTTGAAGTAGCTGATCTTTCACCGTCTTTAATCCCTTCCGCTTCGACGTCGAGACCGTTGAGGCCGTAGCAGCAGGCTCTGGAGGACGCTCCAACGTGTGCTGATTTGCCATTTGAGTCAGTAAGAAGCGCAGTCCATCCGTGTTATCAATCGAGAGCTCCGCGAGGAGATCAAATGCGATTCCCCTGCATGAGTCACTTCGACACTTCGGTTGTCGTAGATAGTATTGTGACGAAGAAGATGCCTGGGCACCCATCACCCCGCTTTCACTCCCTCCGCTTCGAGGCTCTCCATTTGTTTGGTTGTCTGGCGTGGCAAAGAGGCACTCATGGAAAAGCTCATTTATGATCCCTTCTTGCTCATGCAGAGTAGGCGCTATAACTTCGCGCAAGCTGCGTCCATCGCACGGGACATCCAGAAGACCATCCGCTAGTACGGCCGGGATCCGTTTGATGATAGCAAGCAGCGTGGACAACTGTCCTTCGAGTAGCGCGTCAGGAGTGGGAGGAAGAAAGTGTTTGGTTGCTGCAGGTCCAGATTGCGCCCATCGCATACTTTTCCGAGAGGCGAGCGACGAAGGGCCAACAGCACCAAGCGCATCATCCTTAATCTCGAAGGCCTTAATTCGACGACACAGGATTCGGCAAGACGGGAGTATTGCGAACTTGGTCAGATCGTCCGCGCTGGTGACAAGCAGAGTAAACACATTGTAGTACTCTTCATCATCCACCGGGCCCGAGTATTCGCCCAATAAGCGCAGGAAAAAGTTGCAGCACGCCACACGGTCCTCCTGCAGTTTGTTTCTAGAGGTGGACAAAGCAGCGATAGCGTTTGCAGCCTCCAACCGGACAGGCTTAAAGCGGATCTCCACCAGACAACGCAACACGATTTCTCCATGACCCGCATAACTCTCCAAAAGCTCGAGTGCGCCTTGCTTTGCCACTAGCGTGCATGTAGCAATGCAAGATAACAGCCGAGTCATCAGATAGGCGTCGCTTGGGATTTCATCGACGTTATCAGGATCCTCGACTTGTGGGCGTGTATACAACGTTAGACAAAGGGGCTGCGTTGACTGCAATTGGTCCTGTCCACTTATTACAGACTGCAACTTGGATGACTCGTCGCTCTGATCGATCAGAGCAGACGAGGAAGCTTTTCCGGATGCTTCATCGATAGTTTGAAGACTGCTCAGTGTTTCAAGAAGCTGATGAATCAATTGCTGAGGGTTTCCTTTCATAACATCCCCATTCTCCTCCGCCAGCTTGGACTCAACCAGCACAAAATGGCGAAGCAGCTTCACAAGCTTGGATAGGCACATCACAGAAAGCGTTCCCTGGGCAACTAGTTCACGAGGGCTTGACGATAGAAAAAAACTTTCAAGCTGCGTTCGGCCACCAAGCTCAAGAAACGAAGCACTCCACGTATTCACGGTCCCGATCAAGCCGTCAATCCCAGCCACACTATTTGCACTACTTGGGTGCGCTCCTTCAGGTTCATCGTCGTTATCGTCACCATCATCGCGCCCATCGCCACAAAGCGCGAATTTCTCCACCAGCTCAAGTTGATACAACAATTTTGGAGGACACTTTGTATCTAGCAAGGTGTTCCACTCAAACGAATTGGGAGCCTTCCGGATCGAGCCATCAATAGCTAGCACACCGTTCAGTGTACGCGTTTGCTTTTCCATCTCCTGATCCGTTGTGAGCAACTTCAGAATCTTCCAGGCTTCGTCGGATATTCCATCATTGTAGGCTAGCAGGTTAAATAGTAGTGCTATCCATGTGTCATTCTGTGCAACCTCCATCTTGATCGCATGCCAGTCACTTTCAGGGCTGCTGTTGTTGCCTGTACCTCCTCCACCAGCAGCGGCGGCAGCAACACCAGCGGCTCCATGGAAGTCGAGAATACTACGGTTCGTGTGGCCACTAGTGTCACTTTCTACCTTCGACAGCATAATTGCCTCCACGTAGCTGGCTTGCTTGGAGCCCCTGCGAGAAGGTGCTGGGGCTGTTTGCGTCAATGACGATCGTCCTGAAGACGAACGTGAAGTTGAAGAGGAGAAAACGCGCGCCTTCTCGAGCGTAAATTTCCCATGCCCCTGAGCCGTCAGTTTAGTCTTTGCCGAATTCACAATTCGAACTCGATCAGCTGGGTGACCTGTGTCCTTGGCGATTCGATCACGCAGCTCGGACACAAGCGACGTTCGCCTCAAATGATACCGGAAAGGTGCTGCAACTCGGCCGCCTTGCGTTCGAACGTAAACCGTGAGCTCTTCAGGGCCATCAAATGTCCCCCCAGCACTGTCGTGTGCTTGCACGACTGATTGGTGAAGGAAAGTGCTCAATAGCACCAACAGACGAAGAACCTCTCGCGTTTTTGAGTCATCAATCGAAGTTTTTGCCTTCTCCTTCAGGCGCCATAGGCATCGTTCGACAAAGTCGGCCCAAACCTCGCGTCGAACGAGTTTAGACCCGACGTGAAGGTGCAGGTATATCAGATAGTTGCTCGCTTGTTGGCTCACGACGTCACTCTCGGCGCGCAAAGCCACATCATATAGCGTCTCGAGGCCTTGCAGGTCCATCGCTTCTACGACGAAAAGGTCAGCTTCCTCCTTGTTGCCGGATACACTTCCGCGAGCAGGAGTAGTTCCGACGACAGCAGTAGAGGAAATACGCCTAGTGCTTGTGTTGACAAACCGAAACAGCCGCTCCAGGGCCCAAAAGGATTCCTTGCTCATCGTCTGCATATCCAAACGTATCTGAGTAGCGCTTCCATTTTGAGCACCAGTGCCAATTAAGGATTGGAAAATTTCACCCACCACTGCTTCAGAAAATCCAGTGTGCCCCGAGTACGCGCGATGAACGAAGTTATTAGGATCCGGAATCACTGTCGTAAACCAAGCAAAAAATACTTCGCGCTCTTCCATCGTGCTATCGGAACCGTTAAAACAGCCCCACAACTCGCGTACAGCTTCGAACGGCAACTTCAGGTCGGATTTGGTGACAACATACCCCAGGAACGACAACCGCTTCTGAATAGCAGCGAGGTGCAACGGTTGCGCCCGGCACTTGACATCGGCTTGAGCAACGTGGTTCTTGATGGCTTCAACAACAACCGACACAATACTGTGCGCATTGTTCAATTCTTTAAGGAGCTCGCTCGACGTCGTGGGTGGCGAATTCGCCCTGGTCAGTGACAGTGTCGAAGCTGACGAACTACCGCCATAGCCATCAACAATCCGCTGAATTAAGCTCATAGACGTCTCCACTAGTGTTCCGGATTTGATGTTCTCGGCACACTTTCGCAGGTAGTCGCTTAGTAGTTGCTGCTGCTCTTTTCCTGACGTGGAAGAGGATGATCCTGCGGAAATCCACAGCTTTTGCACGTAATTCAGCGAGTCGGCTAAGGCCGCCTCCACCTCAGCTCGCATTGCCCCACGTAGCACTGAACTGTTGTTCGCTCCATTTTCATGCGGGGCTTCCGTTTGAAGGATTGCATTCCAGTACAAGGTACAGCACAAGCCTACCACTTTGTTCAGAACCTCCAAATCTTTTTGAGCGCTTGCACTCAGTTTGTTTCTCGACCCAGACGCAGCGCTTACAAGCGACGTTAGCGACATCTTGAAGCCGCCGGTTTCAGCATCAACCACAAGCTTCGATGCGATCATAATGACACGCTTAATAAAATTCACGACCAGCTCGTCATAGTCACTGATAGGCACTTGGGTCAGCAGCATCACGACAACATCCATCAGATCGGCTGAAAGCACCCCGCAAAGCGAGATCAAAATGTCGAAGACCGTTTTCCTGCCCGAGCGCAGCTGGCTCAGTGCTGTTTTCCACATCAACACAATATGTTTTTCCGTCAAGAGGCCGTGAGCTGCGACGAACCCAAATATCTTTTTCGAGCGCTTGAGAATTTCCAGGTGAGTCCCTCCTTGGATGGAGTACTTGGCACAGCTCTCACGGTCTCCTAGTATGACCTCCAGGATATCTGACGCTGTCAACCACTCCACAATATACTTTGAGCGCAACCATTTCGTTACTGGCTGCTCGCCCGCTGAGTCCGTTGAAGCTGGGGTCGCACTCGAAGCACTTAACGATGTCGTAGTACTGACAGCCTGCGAAGAACTGCGCCTCAACGTCAAGCTTGCCTTCTTCTGCAGAGCATCTTTTCGCTGCGCCATCGAAATCAAATCATTGATGCGAGAAATACCCAGCAGGCGTTGGGACAAGTAGGGGCAGCAAATAAACTTTTTCGAGAGATCCAAGTGAAAAACTTCAATCGCCTCGGCAAACTCCACATCGCACAACGAGGCTGCTCCATCGGTAGCGGTCGACTCATCAATATCCGACTCTGCACTGCGGCCTCCAAGCAAAAGACCATCGCGGCAAAGCGTATCCAAAACGCCCACTATCTGATCAATCAGTCCATCGTCGTCCTTCAGTTCCTCCCCACTCATACGCCGAAGCCGCGAAAATGTAGCGTTCAGAAACTCCCGAAAGAAATCCTCCGTTTGAACTTCGGTGGTAGACCGACGACGACTCGTAGACGAACTCCGACGTCGCTTTTGCTGGGTTAGACAGGGTTTTGCTTCATTCATGATAGTGCAATACAGCAGCACTTCCGTCAACTCGATCTCTGTGTCCGCAAGACGCTGAAGGATGAGGCGAAAACCTCCTGCTTGCACGAAAAGGTCCACGTTGTCGATGTAGTAAAACGAGCGGCACGGGTGGCGAGTCGGGATCGCAGCCAGTGCATCCGGGCTCACCAGGTACGACGTGTACACCAGACGCTGATACTTTGCGGCCGTGTAGCTTCCCGGGTACTTGATGTAGAAGAACATGCACGAGTTGTGGCCGTTGAGGATCATCCGCAGCAGCGACAGCATGTAGACCATCACGTCGCCTGCGTCGTTCCCGAGCATGCACGCGACGACGTTCTTGAGCACGTGCTGATGAAACGCGTTCATCTCTTCGGCGAGATCGCTCGACAGGAACGTGCACAAGAGTGACTTCTCGATGAACGGGATGAGGTACCGTGCTAAGTACGCCTTCTGCTTCTCTCGGTCGTAGAAGTACTTGTCGAACTGCTCGCGAGCCTGCTGCAGGTCCTTCATGTTGGCGTTCCACATACTGCCCTGCTTGCGCGGGAAAGGGTAGGCCGGCGACATGTACACGTTCGTGTGCGTGCCCAGCTTGGCCACCCGGTTGCGGCACGTGGAGCGCGACAGGAACTCGTCGCGCCCCTTCTTCCACGTCGGGATATGCACGCGGATCTCGGAGGCCGAGTGCTGCAAGATCTGCGCCACGCTCCACTTGTTGGACGACAGGTCCTTGACGTCGATCCAGTTGCCCGCCTTCTGGTTCAGGATGGACCACTTGGAGCCCGTAAAGTCCTCGCTGCCGAGCCTCCGGAAGCACAGGTACGTCCGCAGCTCCTCTGTCAGCAGCAATAACCCAGTATCAGCACTACTGCAAAGCAACCACCAAGCTCACACTACTGCTGCGCACTTACTGCCCGCGTCGTCGGCGCTCAGCAGCGGCTCGTCGAGCCACTCGAAGCCCTCGGGGACGTCCTTGAGGTCGCGCACCACGCGGATCTCCTTGAGCGGCATGGGCTGCTTGGCCTGGGCCGAGGGCGACGCTGGCGGCTGGAAGGGCGTGGCCTGGTACCAGAGGAAGCGGCCCTTCTGGCGGTCCACCGACTTGTCCAGCTTGGTCCACGTGGCGTCCTCGCTCGGCTCCTTGTCCCCCCCGATGCGCAGCTGCGTGATGGCCAGCGCCGCGCCCTCGGGGCCGTCGGACGCGGCCGAGGGCGTCGGCGGCGGCGGCGACTCCGAGAGCTTGTACCAGAGATACGTGTGGGGCGACACCTCGGCGGCCGCGCCCTCGGCGGTCGTCACGCGGTGGAAGCTGCCGCCCGCCGCCAGTGCGTTGCCGTACGTCACCTCCAGCGCGCCCACGAACTCGTAGTGCATGGCGGCCTCGCGTCCGGATGCAGAGTGATTGTCGCCTCGGCGCTCGGCTCCTCCTTCTGCGCGTGAAGTTGAATGTGGGGGATCTCACAACGGCCGGTCGCGGTCTGTGATTGGTGGATTGGGGGCGGCTATAACCGGCGGGGTACGGTACTGCAGTTGAAGTGCTGCTGGCGATCGCATGCAGGTTGTCATCATTGCTGTGCAGAGTCCATTTTATAGTGTTAAGTAGCATGGGTTGTGCTGTGTCGGACGACGTGTCTATCTACGTATACTTACCTAGCTCCAGAGCGGCAGCAGCGAGTGCGCGCCGCAGAACCAGCGGTCGCACTTGTAGAACGACTCGCGGTCGAACCGCGCCTGGCACGCGCTCTCGTCGGGCAGCGCTCTGGACGGACACGGACTCGTCAGGTGCAGCGTCGGCGGGTTCTGGTACACGGCCTCGCCCTCCGTCATGAACAGGTCCAGCGCCTTGACGCGGTTGGCCACGAGATGCCGCTCCCGCACGAGCTCCATCCCTGCGCGGCGGATCCGGTCGATCTCGGGCCAGTTGCGAGCGTCGTTCACCCACCAGATGATCGCCTCCGGGTCCCGCCGATCGAAGCCCACGTAGTGCTCGCCCTCATTCATACCCAGCGCCGCGAGCAGTGGCGCCACGTCGCGGTTCACGGCCAGCAGCGCGCCCGTCGACGGGATCTCGAAGATCTTGGCGATGACGTACTGGAAGATCAGCGTCGTGGTGATGGCCGTGCGGTACGAGCGCAGGTAGGACGCGTAAATCGCCGACTGGTTGTCGGCTACGTAGTAGCCTGAGTGCTGATACAAGTCCATGACACCCCGGTGCTCCTGCTGGTAGGTGCCCAGCCAGTGGCGCAGCGGATACCAGTTCGAGCCCAGCTTGCCCGACAGGATAATCTTGTTGATCGGGTACTCGTTGAAGGAGGCGTTCACGAAGTCCGGGCCGGACGAGTGCGGCAGCCAGACCGTCAATGGCAGGTCGCGCTCGTTCACCGAGTCGGTAATCTTGGCAAAGTAGTCGTCCATGAAGTACGTGTAGGTACCCACGAGCACGTCCACCTTCGTCAGGATCTCGTCCCGCAGCGTGATCGGGTTGAACTGGTCGTAGTAGTGCAAGTCGTCGTTCCACACGGCAATGATCGTGCCCAGCGCGCGCAGCTCGTGGAAGTACGCCTGGTACTCCTGCAGCAGCGCCATCGGGTAGTAGAACGAGTTCAGGCAGAAGAGCATGACGCTCGGGGCGCGCTTGCGGTCCATGTCGTAGATGACCTTCATGGGGTTCTTGGACGTGTCGAGGTCCTCCCACCCGTGCTCGCCCTTGAGCTCCTCAAAGAGCGACAAGAAGGAGCGAAGCACGTAGCCCTTCCAATGCGAGGTGCAGCCCACCAGGAACTTGCGCCCGTTGGTGTGCTTCCTGCGCTCGGCCACCCAGGCCTTCACCTCTCTCGGATTCAAGGCGGAGGCCGGGAAGAGCTTCCCGTCGGGCCTGCCGGTCCCGTCCTTGAGCGTCTGCATGTCCACGTCCATCTCGTGGTAGAAGCCCAGCTGCCCGTTGTCGCCCCGCTGCGGCACGAAGTAGCCGCTGAACCGCAGACGCCCCACCGCCTCCAGCGCCAGCAGTGCTGAGCCCGCGGCCACCACCAGCGCCAGCACGCCCAGCAGCAGCGCGCACTTCCACGCGGAGCGGCGCGTCAGCAGCAGCCGCGAGCGCGTGGTGCCCCAGAGCTTCTTGAGCCAATCCGCGTGGCCGACCCGCCTCCGCCGCTTGCCCTGCTTGTCGTTGTCGTCGTCGCCCCCCGCGCTCTTGCCCGCCTTGGCCCTGTGCGCGCGGGAGGACACGACCGGGAGCAACATCTTGCTGCTGCCGTTGCTGCCCCCCGTCAGCCGCACCTCCAGCATCTCCTCCAGCTCCTCGCGCGGGTCCCCGTCGGACGTCCGCGAGCCGCCGCTGCCCACGCGCTCGCGCATGATCCCGCCGCGGTCGATCGAGTCCCTTGAGCTCCAGGAGCTCCGATGCCTAGTGGCGTCGCGTAACACAGACAACAATTCGTTAAAACTCTGTCAGTGACCTCCCTCCTATTGGCTAATATAAAGTTATCCATTATGAACCAATCACGGTGCATTTAAGTTTCTATTATAGCCAATCAATCGACGTCAATGCTTAGTGCACAACGGTTATTGCAGCCTGAGCCCATGCAGGCGCTGACGCGGGAACTGGCGGCGCAGATCGCGGCCGACCACCCGGCGCTGCAGAGCCTCAACCTGTCGAGCAATGCGCTGGCGGACGTGCGCCACCTGCAGCTGGTGCCGCGCTCGCTGACGCAGCTGGACCTGGGCGCCAACCGCCTGGCCGCGCTGCCGCCGGAGCTGGGCGCGTGGCTGCCGAATCTGCGGCTGCTGCGGCTGCGCGGCAACGCGCTCGAGTCGCTGCGTCCGCTGAGCGCGTGCCTCAGACTGCAGACGCTGGACGCGGGCGCCAACCGCGTGGCGCTGCTGAGCGAGCTGCGCTTCCTGCAGCCGCTGGCGCAGCTGCGGCACCTTGCGCTGGACGGGAACCCGCTCGCCCACTCCGCCGCGTACCGACGCGAGGTGCTGACTATGCTGCCGCAGCTGGAGACGCTGGACGGTCGGGAGGTCACGGCGGCCGAACGGCTCTACGCTAAGTTGCAGCTCAAGACGCAGCCCAGCGGCAGGACGGCGTCGCCCGCTGCATCACCGGCGCCGTCCCCGACGCGACTCCTGACGCCCGAAAGTCTCCAGAGAAATGCTGGAGGGAAGAAGGAGGTGCCCGCAACAGCTGATGAATTGAGATTTGAGGTGGATGGAGGGGTGATCAAGAGAGAGGAGGAGGAGAACAGAGAGGAGTGGAGGAGACAGCGCAGTAGTGAAGTTGGTGGTGGCCTGACGAGGCTTCCCGTGCCGGATACGACGGAGAGGCAGCCTTCCCCGCTGCTACTGGCATCGACAGAGCTGCCAGCAAAACCTGCGTCGGTGTTATCAACCTCTGACAGATCGGAGATGTATTGTCCTTCCAGGAGGCGGGAGCACGTGGACAACATCAGAGTCCGCCAGAACGACACTTACGTTACACGAGACTCCGGGGTTATCTTTGAGAGCAAGCCTCTGAAGACTCACGCTGCATTGGCGAGTTTGGAAACAAGGGAGACCCTGTTGCAGAGTCGTGTGGATGCGTTGGAGGCGATCATGGCGGTGCAGGACAAGACGATGAAGAACGCGCTTGCTCGCTTTGGAGACCGGGGTGGGGGCTCGCACGTTTCTTTGACTGTGAAAAATGGCAATTGTGTTACACCGACTGTGGAAGCGGCAGCGACGGTCTACACTCAGTTGCTAGCCGCCTGGCGTGAAAGGTGCGTCGCGCTCATGGTACAGGCGCGAGCGAGCGAGCTTGCTCACGAGGCTAATTCTCACGAATACCGGCAACGAGAGGCTCGGATTTGTGAAGAACTTGCAAATTGTGAAGAAAAGCTGGAAGTGTGGCAGCAGCGCGCTGCCGATTTTGAGGCTCAGCGAGACTTGGAGGTTGTAGCAGCCCGTCAAGCGGAAGACCGGCGAGTCCAGGCCGCTGCGAAGGCAGTACAGGCAGTGCGAAGCTTGGCTCAGGAGCGTGAAAGTCTGCAGCATTTGTCCCAAACTGTGGTTCGATTTACAGGGGGTCTGGTTCGTGATAAAGTGGAGCAACTCCATAGCAGTTCGTCAAGATTAGAAGCTCTAGAGCGGAGGCTCCTGTTCGCGAAAGAGCGGATTGAGCTGGCAGCTACTCTGGTAAAACACCGAGAAGTGCGGCTGCGCAATAGCGAAGCTGCTATGGAAGCTGAGCGACGAGTGTGGGCGCATCAGCTGGAGCAGATGCGCAACGGAGCGCTGCAAAACGACGAGTCAAAGCAGGAGAACAATGGAGACAGTGCGAATGTAGCGGCACCTTCGAATACTAATGGGAAGATTTTGAGGCCGGCGACGGAGACGGCTCTGCGGGCCCTTTTTCACCGTCTAGACGCCTATGATACTGGTCTGGTACGCTCGCAGACGCTGCTTCAAGCCCTACGACGAGGCGATCCAGGAGTGCTGAGTGCCGTGGGAGGCCCCAAGAGGTTGTCGAAGCTTGTGTCTCATGTGGAGACCGCCCTCCGGAAGTTGTCACTCGGCGGTGATGCAACGTCTACTATCACATGGGGTGAATTTCTGCTGTTTTTCATCCCTGAAAGCTCCGTGACGTTGTCGGAGGTCTTGCAGGGCACTGGTGGCGCGGATGATGGGGCAACACGTAGGCTTGATCACGTCGATGGTCCGTGTGCCTTATGCACTGCAGTTAGAACAAACGACCTGCCAGCTTTACCACTCTCCCTCCCCGTTCACACGAGTGGTCTAGAGAAGGCGGAAGGTGAACCAAAATCGCCAAAGAGACGCAAAGAGCGGAGGGCTTTGGAAACGCTTAGTCACGCAGAACTGGTGCAACAGAATGCAGCTTTGCTGGCCGATCGGGAGCGTCTTCGGCGAATAGTGGCGCGCGATGCGCATGACCTTCGAGATCAACTGCGGGCTATTCGTCGAGAGTGGGAAGCCAAGACTGGTGAACTCGTTTACCAAAAAGACAGGCTTCAGCGCGAGCTCAGCGAGAGGGAAGTGGGGCTTCAATCCACGCAAAAGCGTTGCGACGAGATTGAAGCGTCCCGTGACGAAGCTCTGTTGGAGATCCAGAGACTGCGCGATCAGCTTTCTTCGCAGAAGCAAGAGTTCCAGCAACGTAAACAGAAGCTAGAGGCTAAGCATGCTGAGCGGCTACAGCACGAACAGGAAATCTGGCAGGCGGAGATCCAAGACGCTCGGTTGGCCCATTCTCTGCTTCAGAGCGACCACAGCAAGCAGCAGGTCTGCATCCGACAGCTCGAACGAGACTTATCCCGGCAGAAGGAAGCGCTGCTCGCTCACGAAACGGAGCGTGTGGCAAATCTCGAGGACAAAGTGCGCAGGCGTGAGGCGGAATTGACACGGCTGAGGCGTGAACGAAACACTATCCTTAGCTCCCTCCGTGAACAGGAGCAAAAGCTGGCCGTGGCGACCAAACCGGTCGAGCCTACGCCTACAGAGTCCACGGGTACGCAGACAGAAGATGCACGGCCAGCGAAACAGAGCACAGTGGCGACGCAGACAACTGTGATATCGACAGCTACAGGCGATCGCAAGCAAGGGCGGGATGAAGGTCGCGGTGGTAGGATGAGCATCAACGAAATCTCGGCCCCGAACTCTATAGATGAGCAGCACGAGGTCCAGCATGTCAAGCCTCCGCCTCGTTCAACTGGCGTTGCAGTGACTCGCATCTCTCCTGAGGATGTAAATATGAGGCTGCAGAAGTTGCAATCGCTCACTGAAAGCTTGCTCGCGGACTAGAGGGATAAAACTGCTTGTAGAGCAGCGAATATTGTTATGAACTATGAACTAACGAATACAGGATAATACAGCCCCTGCAGCCGACCTAAACGACGTAGTTCTTACCTGCCACCATCTTGGTCTTGGGGTCTTTCTTCGGTCGGCGCAGCGACGACGGTGGGGCTAACACACTCGCCTTGCCCTGCTGGCTCTTTGCCCAGGAGTAGAACATGACGCCACTCACGACGATGAGCGTGGCGACGCCGCGCTTGGTGTCGAAGCACTGCGACTCCTGCTGGCTGCAGTACAGCATCGAGCTGATCACGAACACGCACACAGCGCGCAGACTCTGCATGATTCCAGTGGTGACGGCGCCGCTCGAGCCCAGCATCACGAAGTACGTGAGCCCGTGGGCCAGCTGCGACAGCGTGTACGCCACGAGAGCCGACACGATGTAAGTGGTGTTGCCGTTGGCCTCAGCAATGGGCTTCGTCACGAGCGCGTCCCATTCGGGCAGCACGAAGATGCTCTGGTACACAGCGATAATAGCAACGCAAGCGGCGCCGATCTTGAGGCACAACTCCTTCGGGTGCGGGCGCTCTGCCAGCTTGAGCGTGTACTCTCCAGTGACGTAGTTTCCGCCGTAGAACGCAGCGCCCACCAGCGTGTTGAAGCAGCCCATCAGCACGACCGTGTTGTCACGTCCGCTGCCCGACTCGCCCAGCGCGCTGAAGGCCAGTCCGAACGTCACGAGCGCAATCCCGAACCACTCCTCCTTGGACACGATCTTCTTCAAGATGAACCGGGACATGAGCGCCGACCAGCAGATCACGGACGAGTACACGACCTGGTAGAGTCCGCTGCCAGCCATGGACAGCCCCACGTTGGAGAAGATGCAGCCTGCAAAGTCCAGCACGACCGACACGATGACGCAGAGCTGCACCGTGGAGAGCGAGAAGGACACGGACGAGGGCGTCACGCGGAAGCCGAGCGCGGGCTTCTTCTCGTCGTCGCTGGTGTCCGCGTCGTCGTCCAGCAGCAGCTCCTGCAGCTGCTCCTGGTCCTCCTTCTGGTTGTCCTCCTCGGCCACCGTCGTCCTCCTGGTGAGCTCCATGTCCGCGGTCTCCAGGTCGATGGAGCGCCGCTTGGTGGGTGTCAGTGAGTCCGTCTGCGTGGGCGTGAGCTCGGGCTCGACGTCGTCCTCTGGGGATCTGCTGACCTGAGCGACCTCCTGCGGCTTCTCGAGGGCCACAAGCCCATCCTGCTGCTGGATCTCTTCCTCCTCCTCCTTCTCCGCCGCCTTCTTCGCTGCTGCTGTGGTGGCGGCGCCCATAGCAGGCAGGAGGCCCACGAGCATCATGCCGAGATAGTTGCAGAGCGGCAGCAGCATGGCCTTCTGGTCGCCCGCGCCCTGGTAGAACACGAACTGCGCCACGCACGTGGAGAAGACGCCCGTGAAGAGGAAGACGCCCTGCACCAGCAGCTTGCGCAGCGCCGCGCCGCTGTCGGCGGCCGAAGCAGACACCTTGGACACCTTGGGCAGCTCCATCCTCTGAGCGATTGGCGACTGAGTGAGACCCTTGGGGTAATTTCGGATGTGACGTGTCGTGTTGGACACGAAAGCGGCCACGGCGTGGGATTGGCTGAAATAGAGAGAATAGAGACCCGTCGATTGGATGAAACTACTTTCTACCAATCAAACGAGCGGAATACGATCAGACGATAAGGTGAACCGACTCCTGGCAGATCGCCGGACACTATTTACGACCAGCTGAATGGCATCCCAGGCCTCTCCTTCCTCTCTGCCTCGGCGACGGGGGACCAGTTGGTCGGCGCGAACGAGTGCGTTCTTGCATACCATACTGGCGCTGCAGGCTTGAAATGAGGAAGGGGGCGCGGCCGTCTCGCACCGACAATTGTAATATCAAGGCAAGTTGATGGCAGACGGACGTTGAAGTTGGCCCATGCCATCAAAGCTCGGGTTGTGACGAATGTGCCGCGATATTCCTGGCGATTCTACCAATCCCCTGTACATGTACTTGTGGCCGCCGCGACCCACGATTTCAGTTGCTAATCAGCAAGGTTGCTATACGAGGTGCACGCCCAGCTCAATCGTTTTATCGACAGCAAGTTTATTGACGTTGATATTCCTACCGTGAATGCTCGCTCAGTCTATCGCGTCGCCACATTTACGCCGTGTAGCCCGCGTACGTGGGGTAGGCTGCGTACTCCCACTCGACGCTGTTCTGCAGCAGGTCCTGGTCGAAGCCATCCGCACCGCCGCTCACGTACAGGAACTTGGTCACGGGCACCGTTGCGTAGTAGCTGAACGTCGTGTTGGCCGGCACGAACAGCACGTCGCCCTGGATCAGCGCCGCTGACTCGCCGTCCACCTCGACGGAGAGCTGGCCCTCCTCGAGCTGGAAGGCCAGCGGCTGCTTGGGCGTGATGGTGTTCACCGTCTCGTTGCTGGCCTTCACCGACATGGTGAGGGTGCCCATGGTGAAGTTGCCTCCGCTCTGCGGCCCCTTCTGCACGGGCGCCAGCAGCTTGTAGCCGTTCTCAAAGTTGAGGTACTTCTGCGCGTAGTTTTTGGCGACGAAGAACGGGGTGTGGCCGTCGTCCGCGAGCTCATTGGAGCCGTTGTGCCAGTTGCCACTGCCCGCGGTTCCGTTCACTGCGTCGCGGCGGGTCTCCCACGTTAGCTGCGCGTACACGTCGTACGTCTCGAGCGCCGAGATGGTGTCGGCATTGGTACCCGCCGACGCGTTGGCGTGCGAAGGCTCGAAGTTGGCGTACATGCTGGAGTTGTAGTACGAGTCGCGCAGCGCCACGAAGAGTACCTCGAAGCCGCCCGGCTGGATGACACCGGTCATCTGCGTGTCGGGATCCAGCACTTGGAACGTGTGGTACGTATTGTGGGGAACGGCGCCGTAGTCGCCCTGGGTGAGCACGCGCGTCTGCTGCTCGGACGACGTGGAGTCGTACGACTCGGCCCAGAGCTGGAAGCGGCCGCGCGTGCAGTAGAAGTTCTCGTAATGGGTCTTGTGGATGTGCGGGAGCACGCCCAGGCTCGTGGACTCGGGCGCGCTGGTTTGCAGCAGCGTGAACGCGCCACCCGAGGACGGACCCGTGACGGAAAACCGGTAGATTTGGTCGCCGATCTTGACAGCTTCACCGTGGTTCTTGGGCAGCACGTATGCGCGGAGCTCGTCGGGGGCCGTGTCCACGACTAGCGAAGCCGAGCTGAGCGAGGCCACGCTCGCAGCCATTCCCACGATAAAAGCGCAGATCTTCATGACGTTGGCCGTGTAGGTGAGGGTGATAAAGGATTGATGGGCGCTTTGGCTCTGGAGCTCCAAAATGGAAGTGAGTGCGAGCGAGGACGATGAGAGATCATGGCCCGCAGCCTGAAAGGCGCGGCTGTGCCCTGATGATTGGACTAGTTGACCTCGACAGTGAATTCACTCAGGCCGTATGTGCAAGACAAGCCAGATGCTGCGATCGTGCCGGCGGTTCTGCTGTGGTTAGAAGGACAGGCAAGTACTATCCTGCGACAGGCTCTACGCATGGCGCGGAGGGCCCCAGTGCTGCTCTCGCGCTCGCTGACGAGAAGAAAGTCCGGCTTGTCCACAGTTTGATGATGGTCAATCGTGTTGCTTGACCGGCGATACCGCCTGGTAAATGGCACAGCAGCAACAACGATACCCGAGACGTGGGCTATCCGGATATGGTACTGTAAGGCTGCGTGGGTAGTGTGATTGATATGCCGCAGTTTGCATTAATTTTCTAGTTTCCAGGCTGAGGTGCTGGGCCCACTTTTGCATGATTCAACGTGCTACACGCCCGCAACTACAAACTGTAAGCACGACGTCGGTTGCCACTCATTCGTCGATCTGGTTAACCAGACCCGTTTTACACCTTGGGCTACTATTTATGCTTGAAGTAGTCGCGCGTCAGCTGGCCTTGCAATTGCAAGTTGCAAATGCCTGCAGGGGCATTGCAAACAATGGCAATGCAGACGTCACTTGCGTTGTCTGGCACTCCTCGGTTGACCTTCGTGGCATCAATTTGACTGCAGCGCAGCGCTAGGTCTCAAACAGTCAGGCTTGCTCGAGTGCAGGGTCAAAAGTGCGGTTGAGTTTCACCTAGAAAGCCTGGCGGATACATCCGCATCCGGTGCTGAACCAGGAAAAAAGTGCGATGTGCAAGTACATTGTACTGCGCATGGCTGGGGTAAATGTAACTTACTATTTATTATACGTCGAATCCTCCGCTCCAGGCAAAAATGCCACACAATATCTGTCCACTGCTACAAGTGCGCGGCATTCAGTCGACCAGCGCCCAACTCGCCGCACACGCATACATACCTCGAAGTACAGCACTTGCAAGCAGGGGATACCCTTGAAGAGGTTTCAAGGGAGAGGTTTCAAGGGTAAACTGAAGTTTTGAAAGCCGGTCCAGGACTACTGCTTATGCTGGACAACTCGATTATGCGTGAAGTTGGCCAGCTGTTCACACACGTGATTGACGCATTGACGCACTTGTGTGCAGGTTGCCCTCGTTCCCTGCATGTACCGAGAAGCGAGCGGAATGCGTGCATATACTACGCAATACACGATGACAATACAGCAGCCAGCGCTTCAAGGCGTGTGTAGGTGAAGGCAATGCAGAGGCGGAGGGCTATCAAGCCACTGGCTACGCTTTGCGATGGATTGATGGCTTTGAACTCGTGCAAGCTTGGCTTTGCTCTTAGCGCAGCACTTGTAAATCCTGGCTCGAAGTGATGCCTGACCCTCTCGCCTGCGTCCGTACGCGCTGCTTTGGCTTCATCTGGTACGTACAACTTGTACTACAAGCAGGCACCGCGCTGTACGAATTCAACAGAGTAGCTTAATTGCGCGGTGTGTCTGCTGCTCGATCAGGCTTATCGCGAATGTTCACATTGTCATCACAAGCGGAAATACAAGCTCGGCATCTTTGATCGTGCAGCAGCGTCCTCGCGCGCTCGGTCGCCGGCTGACAATCGAGCTGGATACTACCGTCGCATTCGTGGATTGCTCAGGGCACAGTTCAGCCCAGAACTCGATCAAAATGCTGTACGGGACGAGAGGCAAGCGGCTGCATCTGCGCCTTCCCAGCGCTCTCGAGCGTCAAAGGTGGATGGAGGCTATCGCGGCTGCTGTGGGGACGCCTGTGCACGCGATGACGATCCACCCACGCACCCACTGGCGCTTTGATGCTCCGCCAAAAGCACCGACAGGTGCAAGCAGCGAGCTTGTCAAGCCCCAGTCGGTGAGAATCGCCCCACCAGCTCCTACTCCCATTCAGCTCACATCTGCCACGGTGCCAGCCAAGTGGTCCCTGCGAGAATACTGCGAGGCGTATATCATCGCTGCAGCGCCGCACCCAACTGAGCTTGCCCGCTCAATAGACTCGTCAAACTGGTGCAACCAGCAGCTCCCGACCAAGCGTTTGCTGTATACGAACGCTCGCGGCATAACCTTCGAGCCGAACTGCTGTTAGTACCGCATGTGAGCTTAATACCGGGCAGAATCACTTTTTCTTCCATTTCTCGCTCTCCTTCCTCATCTTTCCAAACAGCAACAAACAGTCTTCATCCTTTATACTTGTCTGTGCGCAGCACGCACCTCACACAGGACCACATTTCAGCTCGGCAGTACTAACTTCCGAGCACCACCGCCTTGCAGAACACGACGACGGACGTGGCTGCCCAGCCCGTGAAGTTGCCCATCAGCAGCCCCATGGACGTGATGGTCACGTAGTCCGACACGGACACGACCTCCCTCTTGGGCTTCACTTGGTGCTTGGCCGGGGGAGTCTTGGTGCTGGCACTGGCCGGCTGGTAGCAGTAGTACATGCCGGCGACGCCCATGAGACACAGCTCCCAGCCGAACATGGCTCGGGTGCTGAAGGCTCCGCTGTACGTGCGGGCGCTGGAGCCGATGAAACCCGTGGCGAAGGACAGCAGCAGCGGCGCTAGCTGGGCGAAGGTCTCGCCCAGCCTCGGCTTGAGGGACGGCCCGTAGTGGTCGTACAGCCGCCGCTTCTCCAGGTCCGACAGCACCTCGTAGGCCTCGGTGATGGCCTGAAACTGCTCGGGCTCGGCATCCGGGTTCTTGTCCGGGTGGTACTTGAGCGCCATGGAGCGGTACGCCTTGACGATCACAGACGGACTGCAGGGACGACAATAAATGCATACATACCGACGGTCAGTATTAGTGTGGACTGCGACTTTAGGGCCGTGGATCGGAGGCCACAGGCGACGAGCGCGGCTGGGAAGCGCATGGATAGAGAGAGCAGCACCTCGCGTCGACGTCCACGCCCAGCACCGAGTAGTAGCACGGCTCCTGCACCTCGTACATGGCCATCGCGGCGGCAGCTCCGCGGTCTGATGCTGGTCAATTTCGAGAGAATTTTTACCGCATAAATTACCAACAGTTTTATCTTACTGAAACTTACCGATTTGTTTTGGTTTTAGAAAATGTATCGATTTTTTTTGGTTGAAGGCAATTGATGCTAGACAAGGTTTGTTGCAAGGTAATGAACGATTTCGATACTGTAAGCCACGCTTTTATATTTATCGAGGGTAGTATGAATGGTAGGTACCGCCTGGAGGACGGTGGAGGACGGCTTTCCGTTGGGCCGTTCGTTCGTTTACTTGAGAATGGACTGCACCACCACGTCGAGGAAGTCGACGGACAGCGCGGGGGCCTCCACTTTCATGGCGTCGAAGAGCTCGCGACTCATCTCGAAGACCGTGCACGACTCGGCCGCCACGGCGGCACTTTGGCGGTTTTGCTGGCTGAGGAAGAGCACCTCGCCGAACATGGAGCCCGGCTGCACGGTCTGCAGCAGAGCGAGCGGCAGGTTGGGCGCGATGCTGCCGTCCTTGTTCGCGAACAGCTTCACGCTGCCGCGCGCGAGGAAGTAGAAGGTGTCGGAGGGCTGCGCCACGCTGTAGAACTCGTGGCCGGCGGGCACCTCCATCTTCCGGAAGAAGCGGTCGACACCGCGCAGCAGTTGCGAGTTGTCGGGCTCACCCAAGTAGCGGTGCAGCAGCACACTGATCGACTCGCTCGAGTATGCTCGGTGCTGCGTCGGAGCGGGCTCGTTCGACTCAGTGGCGCTCAACTTTTTCGCGCAGAACTCGAGCGCTGAGTCGGCAGTCGCGAAGAAGCTGCTCTCGCCCGCGACGTGGTTCTTGACGAGCAGGCCGCGGATGTCTGAGCTGGCGCTCGCGAAGACCACGTTGATGCCTTGCATTCTGCAGTAGTTCTGCAGGATCAAGAAGGCGCTGCGGGCTGCCGTCGCGTCCATTCCGGTCACGCGCGTGAAGTCCATGACGACGAACTCGGTCGGCTGAACGCTGTCGTCCGGAGCGGGCGTTCCGTCCAGACACTCGAGGACATCGTAACCCGTCCTGCAGATGGGAAGGAAGCTCGACTCGCGTTGCGTTCCTCTCTCGTCGTCACTCTCCCATGGCTGCTTGTGCTTGTGGACGAAGACCGCCTTTTGGACGCCATCCAGGATTTGGACTGCGGAGCCGAAGAAGAGGTACCCGCAGAACTCAAAGTGCGCGATGGAGCCCTGCTTCATGCTGAAGACGGTGCTCTGTGCTAGGTTCCGCGACGCCCCTGACGGCCCGACACTCTCCCCGAAGTTGGGCACTGCAGCTGAGAAGCGAGGACGCAGACTCATCACACTCTCCGCAAAGTTTGGCGCCGCCCCCGGGGAGTACGGACGGTGGCTCATGACGGGCACTTGGACGTAGCTCACCATGAAGTTGAGAGCAGCGACGCCCACGGCGATGACGATGCCCAGCTCAAGAGCGCAGACGTTGATGGCGACGAACGAGAGCCACACCACCGCGCACTCGCGCAGGTACATCTTGCGGTACGAAAGCACGAGCCACTCGAGCATGAGGTCCAGCGCCACGAAGACGAGTGTGGAGGCCATGAAGAACCTCGGCACGTAGCTCATGATCGACGTCGGGATGACGACGATAGCGATCTCGGCCAGGATGACGCACACGCCCACGATGCGGGAGTCAGTCTTGGAGCGGCACGTGAAGATGGTCTGTTCCAAGTTGTACGAGCCCGTGAAGCCTCCGAAGAGTCCGCTGACGATGTTGGACCAGCCGACCGATTTGAGCTCGTGGTTGATGTCGAGCTGCTTGCCAATGTCGATCTCAATAGCGACGACGTCCAGGCTGGACGAGAGCGCCACGATAAACACCATACCGAGCCAAGTGACGATCTGCCGCGGGATCTGGTCCCAGTGGACCAGGGAGGAGTCGTACAGCGTGACGATGTCCGTGAGCGATGCGGACTTCTCCAGCGGGTCGATCCAGCCGTCCTTGCGTGCTTCCTCGAGTGTGGTCCCGCCCGCCGCCAGCACCACGAAGAAGATGGTCGGCATGACCACGATGGCCACGGACAGCGCGAACGGGTTCTTGACGTTCCTCGAGATGGCGAGCAGCACCACGCCGCCCCAAAACGCCGGTAGACACAGCAGAATGTTGTGTTCGCGGCCGAGAGCGTCCACCATAGAGGAGAAGTCGTTAATCACGGTCCCCGTGCTCAGTGCGAAGCCTGCGAAGAGACAGAATATGCCCGTGTAAGCCAAATACCCTCCGATGACGGGCATTGGCAGGTACGAAGCAAGCGCGGCGAGCTTGAAGCGCCCCAGGACCACGAGGCAGACGCCGAGTAGGATGGTGGCAACGCCGATGGTGACGATGGTAGTGGCGATCATGGCCTCGACTGTGACGCTGTCGTCCTGTTCGAGCGCGTTGCAGATGGAGGTGGCCATGACGCCGAGGAAGATGATACCGACGTTCTGCACCTGGCCGATGGCGAAGGGCAGCGAGCTCATGAGTGTGAACATGAGCTGGTGGATGGCGCTCGAGAAGATGACGAGCTTGGAGAGCGCCGGCATGTAGTGGTCGAACGCCGAGTGGCCGAAGATGATGGCGGCGTATCCGTACATGATGGGGATGGCTCGGATGGAGTTGACGACGCCAAACATGAGCGAGTTGGACAACTTGGTGAGCGGGTGAGCGTTGGTGCTCGATTCCTTGTGGCCAGACGCCATGGGGCCTTTGCTCAGCAGGAATTCGCGCGAGAAGGGGTTGCTGCTCTTCCGGCGTCGGTCATGAGCGGTGGAGGACATGTCCGCCACAGGGGTGACGGGAGTGCGCCAACGGGGGGTCGGAACGCAAAGTGAGAGAGGCCCCTTGTTGCTGCCGCCACATCGACAGGAGAGTGCCGAATGCCTTCCGATACAGAGACGATGTCACGTGAATTTTGTTTGGGATTGGCCAAGTGTATGTGTAACGCACAAGCAGATCCTGAAGACTGGGGGAACTCCCTATGGGCGAGCATTAGCACGGTGACGGGGCTCCCAAAGCCAGGAAGGTTACCGTGCAATGCTTGCAAGCGAGCCATGGAGCGCCCGGGTCGAGTGAGCGCCTCGTGCCGGCACCCTCGCCGTCAACACGCCGAAAGGCGAAGCGCCATCTTCAAGGACGCAGAACTTGAACGGAGTCAACAGTGAGATCTGCTTGCCCATGGAGCAGAGAGCTTCCTGGCTTTGATAAGCTTGAGCTCTGCTCGTCCGGAACTTTCCTTTGACCCCGGGTTTGACTCAGCTTATCCGAATCGGCCGAATGCCAACGAAAACTCTGGCTTTGGTGGTGATTCACTCCACTCATACTGTTCCCGAGTTCGAAGAGAAAGCTGTTAGAAATGCCGAATTCTTGGCTCTTCACTTTGGCTCAAGCCACACCACAAGATAAGAGGTGCACCGCACAGTAGCTGCGCGAAAGAGAACAATCGAAACAAACAACTGCTTGTAGACGCAGTCTTCATTTGGACCAAGTCATCACCTCAATACACACGTGTACCAACCAACCTTACATATGTGGCTGCGCTCAGATAAACATCGGCGCGCGATGAATCATCCCGCGTAGAGCTGAACAATACCGTCTTGATAAAGGATCGTCACTGCGCACCAAACGCAGACATCGAGATCTTCCACCACCACCAACAAGAAGAAGAGTGCAATAGAGTAATGCGCCTTATATTTATTCGGACAATTCGGTGGCGAGGAGCCCAGCATTAGCGAGCGTTAGGTTAGTGATCGACAGCGCCATGGACTGCACGATGACGTCGCGAAGACGCATCGACAGCATTGGCGTCTGCTCCTTCATGGCCTCAAACTGCTCGCGACTCAGTTCATACACGGTGCAAGCCTCCATCGCAGAGGCCGCAGTGTGTCGCCGTTGCTGGCTGGAAAATGCCACCTCGCCGAACATGGAGCCCGGACGGACCGTCATCAGCTGCGCCAGAGGTTTGTTAGCCTTAATGCTGCTGTCGGCATTCTTAAAGATGGCAACTCGACCACGGGCGAGCAGGTAGAACGAGTGTGGAGACTGAGCCACTCGGTAGAACTCGTAGCCGGCTGGAACCTCAACCTTCCGGAAGAAGTGGCCGACGCCGTCGAGCGCTGGTCGCGAGTCCTCGGGACCTTTCAGGGCGCGTTGTAGCAGTATGCCAACCGTGTCATCGGAAGTATTGTTTGCTGGTAAGTGCGTTTCGCAGAACTTGATGGCGTCCTCGGCACTGTCGTAGAAGCTCTCTTCGCCGGCGATGTCGTTCTTGAGCAGCAGCGTGCGGATGCTGGGGAGCGCACCGGCGAAGACGACGGCGATGCCTCGGTTCCTGCAGTACTTCTTGAAGATCAAGAAGGCGCCTCGCGCTGCCGTAGCGTCCATGCCGGAGACGCGGCCGAAGTCCATGACAACAAACTCGGTCGGCGAAGCGTGCGCGTTCAACGCTGGCGTACCGTCCAAACACTCGATGGAGACGCTGTGAGGCGCCGCGCGTGTCGGTAGGAAGCTCTGCCTGTCCGCAGCACCAGTAGCAACATCGGTAGTGCTCTTGCGGACGTAGACTCCCTTCTGGACACCCTCGAGGATCTGCACCACGGAGCCGAAGAAGAGATACCCGCTGAACTCGAAGTGGGCGATGGCGCCGCGCTGTCGGGTCCGCACCGTGTTCGATGCGAGCGCCTGGAGCTGCATGTCGGACGACGACGACGAAGAAGAAGAAGAAGATGAAGAGCCCACACAGGGATTCACGATGGGGACCTCCACGTAGCTCAGCACGAAGTTGACGACGGCCACGCCCACGCCGATGAGCATGCCCACGTCCAGAGACACGAGGTTGATGGCCAGGAACGAGAGCCACACCACGGCCCACTCGCGCACGCACATCTTGCGGTAGGCGAGCAGCAGCCACTCGAGCATGAGGTCGAGCGCGACGAAGAAGAGCGTGGCGGCCAGGAAGAAGCGCGGCACGTAGCTCATGACGGACACCGGCACGGCCACGATCGCGAGCTCCGCCAGGATGACGCAGACGCCGACCACGCGCGAGTCGGTCTTGGAGCGGCACGTGAAGATGGTCTGGCCGAAGATGTACGAGCCCGTGTAGCCGCCGAGCAGCCCGCTCACGACGTTGGACCAGCCCACGGTCTTGAGCTCGTGGTTGATATCGAGCTTGCTGCCCATGTCGATCTCGATGGCCACGACGTCGAGGCTGGACGAGATGGCGACGATGAAGACCATGCCGAGCCACGTGACGACCTGCTGGGGGACCTGCGCCCAGTGCACGAGGTCCAGGTCGAAGAGGCCGAGCAGCTCCGAGACGGACGCCGTCTTCTCCACGGGGTCGACCCAGCCGCTGTCGCGCGCCTGGTCGAGCGAGATGCTGCCGATTGCCAGCACGAGGAAGAAGAGGACGGGCATGACCATGATGGCCGTCGACAGCGCGAACGGGTTCTTGAAGTTCTGCGAGACCAGCAGCAGCGTCGCGCCGCCCAGGAAGCCCGGCACGCACAGCAGGACGTTGTGGGCGTCGTTCAGCACGTGCAGCATGGACGAGAAGTCGTTGACCACGAGCCCCGTGCTGAGCGCGAGGCCCGCGTAGAGGCAGAAGACGCCGATGAAGGCCAGGTAGCCCCCGATGACGGGCATGGGCAGGTACGAAGCAAGCGCGGCGAGCTTGAAGCGCCCCATGACGACGAGGCAGACGCTCAGCGAGGCCGTGGCGATGCCGATGGTGACGATGGTGGTGGCCACTTTGGCTTCCGGCGACACGTCGTCTCCGAGGTCCTTGCAGATGGAGGAGGCCATGGCGCTGAGGAAGATGAGGCCGGCGTCCTGCACCTGGCCGATGGCGAAGGGCAGCGAGCTGAGCAGCGTGAACATGAGCTGGTGGACGGCGCTGGAGAGGATGACGAGCTTGGAGAGCGCGGGCATGAAGGCGCCGAAGGTCGGGTGGCTGAAGATGATGACGGCGTAGCCGTACATGGTGGGGATGGCCCGGATGGAGTTCACCACGCCGTACAGCAGCGAGTTGGTGAGCTTTTCCAGTTGCTGGCCACCGCATCGGCTGGCGCTGCTTGGTTCAGGCTTAACATTGGGATCAGCTGGCGTCCCGGTGTTGGGGAGCAGCCGCGTCGGAGACTCGGCGTCTTCGATCCATTCCTCGGGCGCCTGGCACGATGCCGCCGGGTTGACGACTCAGAGCTTGGGGTATCCTCGCATGGCCGTCATTGCGACCGCTCCTCCTCCACTGAGTTAAAAATGGTGGACGGCGGCGCTGGTGGTGCAAATCGGAGGTATCAGCTCGAGGCGCCGAGGCAGTTGTTGGTCGTCAGAGGTCTTGCTTTGCATAGACCGTCGCTGCAACGGCGGAACAGAATGGTCCTCCAAAGTTTACAGATGTTTGGAGACTTGACGATGGATACTTAATCGGGGTACTTAATGAAGTACATGTAGCATACTTTCTTGAAAAGCTTTACTTTTGAGATCATAGAATCGACTGCAACGCAGCAGCGGCATGAACGAACACAGCCGGAGGCAGCTCGCCACAGGAACTGGCTTTCGCCATTCTGCCTCCTGGCGAGAGCATTATGAACAGTGCGGTATTAATAATAAAAAATGTTGATGTATTAATATAAGGTGTTACTGGACTTGTAGCCGAACCTCTAATCCCCCTTCCATCCTCGAAAGCAAGAGGAGTGGGTTTGATATGTAGAATATGCATATACGCCGTAGTTTAGCGAAGTTGATTGGGGAAGGCACGAGGATTTCTTGTCCTGCGTTCGTGTTTGCCCATTTCCTGTTGTCATTCATCAGCGTTGCGTAAATAAAAATTGCAATAAAACTATTGATAAAATTGGGGTCAACAATTACAATTAGAAAATTGGCTGCAATGATTTTATTGTATTGTACATGTCCAGTTGACTTAATAACTGTATGTGCGTGGGTAGCCAATCAAATGGTCCATACAGACCCCTATACAAACCACAAGAATCTCTCCAAACACCTAAGAGAGAGATCTGTACGTGTGTCCGTAAGTCCGTGTGAAGCCCGTGACAACATAATAAGGTGGTCCACATAATCGTACATAGACAGCCTCGGCCCCACTCCAAGCTGCCGAGCGCAGCGAAGGCGGCACCCGCGTGCGTTTCTAGCGGGCCGCAGGGCCCGCCCTACAACTATGTACTAATAACACGGCGAGGCGAGCGGAACGGGGGCGATTACGTCACCCCCGCCGTGACGCTTGGCCTAATATAATACTTTTCGGAACACCTGCTATTAATTAAAATGGGCCCACCGCGTAGTAGCAGCTATCAGTGGGGTCGCGGTCTGTTAGTATAATAGCGCTGTAGCGAGGTTTGCTTCATATAAACACATGCTACGATAATTGGTATGCTAGTGAGCGATCGTAACGCATAAGTTAGCGATAGCAGCGGATAGTAAGCGATAGAAGCGCATAGTAACGGATTGAAGCGCATAGTAAGCGACAGCAGTGCGCGTACATATAGTGGGAGGCGTTCACTGACACGCATAGCATATTTTTACTGTAATTATTTAGGAATGTAGATACTTAAGTATTATAGCTACAGCGGCGCTCTGTGTTCATCTTGGGGGAATATTTAGCTACACTTGCTTAAACGCGTTTCGTATATCTTTAAGGTACAATGTGTAGCGTTAGGAGAATGCGTTAGTGGGGTAGTATATAATATTCACTGAGTGGAAGCCTTTTATTATAGTTTACGCTGGGATTCCTTTTCTAACCGTGTTATGGGGCGGATATACACGCAGGAAACCGAATTAACAAAGGGCAAACGTGACTTTATAACTATATAGTTACGAGTGCGAACTCTCTATATCTTACCTACTGTAGTGCAGGTGGTACACTAAAATGGTAATGTTCGCCGCGTAGTAGAGTAATAAACCATAGCCACGTCTAAAACAATGAGTTTTGAAGTAGACCACGCAGTTGTTAGCGCAGCCCGCGGCTACAACTATATTTGACGGAATATACAGCATGCTGAAGTAAACGCGGTATTTATACAAGAACACAAGCACAAAATATAATCCTAAGTACAGGATTAGCGAAGCTCATACTTTGATTATTGCTGAGGTTTATATATAGCCCCAAAGCAGAATGTAGATGTTATAACTAAGTAACATTGAACTATTGTACGATGATAAACTGATAAAACAGCAGATACATAGACATATACCGAAGATAGCACAGTAGCTCGATCTACCCTACCATGACATTTAACAACATTCACAATAAACACGGATTTTTAGATACCATGATATGTTTTGTTTTGTTTTGTTTTGTTTTGTTTTGTTTTGTTTTGACATTGAGGTACATTGTTGTCACTTAACTTCGTGGCTAACGACATCGATGACCTTGACGGAGGTCGTCTCTAACCGATCTCCCTGCTTTATTACCCCTAGTGGCTACACACTCAGGGCTGCCCCCAACCGTTAAGGTGTGAAGGCCCCGAACCCCGAAGCGTTCTCATCGCTGATGTGCTCCAGCCAGTGCCCCAACGTCACTGGCTGCGTAGGCATGAAGATCTTCCCAGATCGAGTCGGAGCCGATGACTCGAGTGGGTTTACATTGCATGCTACGCCGTGTATTCATCGCCAGGTTGGCGAGCGCATCGGCCATCTTGTTGAAATCGCGTATGTGATGCTGCCAGCTGATCACCGACAGTTGATCCGCAACCCGCCGACTTTGCCAGTATAGCTGAGTGAGGTGTTTAGCCTTTGGTGGTCGCCGCTTCTGCTGTTGATGGATGATAATTTTGCTATCCCCAACCACGTGGAGTGGTCTCCAATTGTGGCGATGACAGGCCTTTAACCCCATAAGCAGCCCCATGTTCTCTGCAATGTTGTTCGTTGTGGAAGGTGCCGCGTATGACATGCTGATAACTCAGCAGATTTCGAAAACACCCCACCCTTCGCCGACCCGAACCACTGCCGCTCCACTCCCTCCAGGCCCGGGATTACCACGGGAGCCGCCATAAAAAAGAGGAGATACTTCGAACGTCCAACAACGGGTGCTGGGGTTGGCACGGCCGGAATCGAATGAAGCGCTTTGCGCGCCACTTGTGCCGCTCGGTCAAGCATAGGAGCGTGTGGACCCCGGGCAATGTGGAGGTGCACAGTGGCATATCCGTGCCGCAGTCGAGTGTTGAAGATATCCAGATGATAGTCAAATGACATTATTGAGCGGGTCGAAAAAAGCAACTCGCCACCTCCACACTGCGTGAAAATAGAGGGCCGCTCCGATTCTCCAGCAGCTCTCCATCACCCGCGTGAGTGCGACAGTGGATTGTCCAGCGCGAGGCCAGCTACGGTCGGGAAGAGCTGCTGCGCAATTGTCCATACCCCCGCAGGGATCATTGGCAGCGTGAGGCCAAAGACAGCCTCCTCCAGGCCCGACGTAGGCAGTCCCAATGCCAGCCAACTCTGTAGGAAACGCGTGCGCATCCGAACCGCTGCTGGACAACTCCAGAATACATGGTAGAGATCCACTTGGTCCTGCCGAACGCACACCGCATGAGGACATCCAACTTGTTGACGACTGCGATCGTATGGCGATAGCGCCTGGTGTTTGAGCCGAAACAGGAGCTGCTCCCCCCACGGGTTGAGACCGACAATGCGCCGGATCCGTGACCATTCAAGGTGAGAGAGACCTGTCGCAGCCGAAGGCCTTTGCCGCTCCCAGTGTTGTTGGCGCCGCGCTCGACTGGCGAAGCCTCGCCTCCGCGATGCAGCAGCAATAATAGTTCGAAAATGTCGACGCGGTTTGATCCATCGCCGATTACCCACCCATAAGCAGACCAGACGACTGACACGCGGGTGCAGATGTACATACTGAACTCGAATTTCGGGCCCGACTTGCGCGGACACGAACTTAGACAGTCGAGGATGACTGCTGATAACGTGGTCCCGTGAGAGAGCCCTCGATCCTGACGTCAGCTGTACAGATGGTGGCGAACTGGAAGTCATCCTCCCGAGCACCGGGTGGTCCGCTGGTGTTGCTTCAATCCGTAGCTCCGAGCTGAAGCCACCTCGATAAAATAGGCGGGGGTAATTCGTGACCAATAGTAGAACGAGGGCCTCCACCCTCTTGCGAATTGCCGATGTACGTCTTCTGCGGGGGAATAGCAGGGTGAATGTGATAAGTCCAGCTCCATGACATCTCCAGTGAATGATATCACGGAGCCGGTCACCGTACGTAAGCAAGCTTCGAAAGCATGTCCGGTTGGCGATAGCTCCTGTTCGGCCATCGATCAGCTGAAGATCCACCACTGAAGCGTAGGGAAGCCACTCCAGACACTGTTGGCCATGGACGGCAGCTTCAGCCAAGAGGAAAAGACGGCAGGTAGTCGACCGTAAAGCTGCCCCGTCGGCGACTAGCCTTGCGCCGTTCCATTGAAGATCGACACATCCGAAATGTCGGGCCAACTGGTACAAGGCTGAAACCATCGGTGCCCGAGCGGGAAGGTCAGCAGCGCCACCTGCCGTGGAAACGATGGCCTTCCCAGTTGACCACATAGATGAACGACGGCGGATGCCGCCTACCAGTGGGACTCTTGCATTTGGGGTCACGAAGGTGGCCGGAGCACGGGCACCAGGTATCAGCTCCTTACACACTAAGATGTCGCCGACGATATGATCGACATTAGATCCGAGGACCGCCCACTTTGAGACTGTGATTGCAGCCATCGCCATCAGTTCCACACGCAGATCGGGCACAGCCAGACCCCCTTGGGTCCGGGGCAAGGCTGCGAGATCCGCATCCAACCAAGCCTTCGCCCCTTGTACTTCTGAGGTAAAAACGCCGTGCCACACGTAATTCTTGATCTTTGTCGTCAGCCGATTAACCGTGCCAGTTGTAGGCCAGGCATGCTGGCCGATGTATAGCAGCTTGGGAATAATGACCGCTGAAGCGATCAAGCTGCGTTGGTCGACGGTTGTTGTTTTCTGACTGGCCATATACAATCTGGTGGTTAATTGTCGCTCTGCCATGCTCCATGTCCTCTCGGGGTCCCTCGTGCTTCCAACAAAGATACCGAGATAGCGTCCTTGGTGCTCAGGCTCCTGGAACCGCAGGGGATGTGGCAGGCAGGCGTCCCCTGCGGGACCGTCCGGCCGTAGTGCAATCACCATCGTTTTCTTGTGGTTAAGGAGAAGCCCAGATGCTGCCCCAAATTCTGTGGTGACCCTCAAGAGCGCCTCCACTTGAGATACAGATGAAAGGTAGACAGACGTGTCGTCAGCATAACCGGCCACTTTGATCTCCACCTCTCCACCTTCCGACGTGAGCTTGACCCCTTGTAACTCGGGACGCCTATCGAGCTCCAGGTACAAGGCCTCGAGCGCCAAAATGAACAGTAACGGTGCAAGGGGGCACCCTTGCCTGATGCCGCTCGTCACCTCGACTCTGTGAGACTTAAAACCATTAGCCAAAACCGTAGCAGTCGTACCAGCATGCAGAGCCCCAACCGCCTGGATGAACTGCTCCGGGTACCCGTGGCGCTGGAGTGCCTTCAAGAGGAAGTCTCTGGATAACGAGTCGTAGGCCTTCATGAAATCTAGCAGCATGACCAGCGCTCCGTCTTGAGCAGAATCTACAGACACAGTCTGCTGAGCGGCTTCAAAGATGTGTAAGGTCTCGTGGATCGTCCGCCCCGGGACGAAGCCATTCTGGTGAGGATGCACTCGGTCGTCCAACGTCTCTCGCACTCTTCTTGTCGCTAGGATTCTGGAAAATATCTTGTAGTCCGTATTCAGGAGCGCGATCGGCCGGTAGTTTAAAGGATTATGCAGATCCCCTGACTTCTTGAGGCAGAATATATCCGCCTCCAGAAAGGACTCAGGGAACACTCCTGCCGCGTACCACTTGTTGAGCATCACTGACAGGATCGGTACCAGTTGATCAGCGTAGGAACGGTACCAGCTACAGACAACGACTTACAAAGCGGGCAGACACAAAAAGCCGGCAGACGAAGTCAAGCAAAGCTTAACATGAGCAAGCCAGCCAATCAGATTCAATCAAATGACTTCATCTTTGTATACCATCTGGTTTTGTGTACTTTATATGCTTTCTTGTGTACTTTATGCAACACACCGTGTGTTTTATGACAGTTTTACAGATTTGACGGGAGGGAATTTGTCGTTGTTTTTATATAGGAGGATGGCATTAGGCATGCCGGCTTTGTAAGTCGTTGTCTGTATTGCAGAGACGATCAGGGACAGACGCCTTCCCCTCTTTGCAGGCCGCGATTGCCGCCTCGATCTCCGCTGTCGATATCTCCTTCACTACAGCAACTTGTTCATTCGCCGGTTCCGCGACGTCCTCAATCCATCCGGCGACTGCATCTTGCGATGCCGCGTTCGTCACGTGTTGTTGCAGTATGGGGGTCCAGGCATCAGCAAGGATGTCCGCCTTATCGTGCACCCCTCGTACCGGCGAACCGGGGGTTGGGTCGAGGCGGTGTATGGTATTGTCCGTGAACTTGCTGGAGATGCGTCTGAAGAAGTCCCGAGTAGTTTTCCCTTCCCAATGAGTTGCTGCAGCAAAGTGGCGGCGCTGATGTAAGGATGCCCTCGCTCGCTGGCAGTCAGCAATGGCACTTCGGAGCCGGGCCGCCGGGGTCGAGCCGTGGATATCCTCGAGCGTCAGCGCGTCTAGTGCATCTGTAACGGTCTCCACCGTTACTGGTTGGCCATCATCACACTCACGGATGCGGGCTTGCTGGTTACGAAGTCGGCGGAGCTTTTGGCGGTAAGTGTTGCGCCTGGTGCGCCTCCGTTGGCGAGCTATCTTAAGAGTGTCCGTTACGATTCGGAGCTTGAGTTAGCCCCACCACTTGGCCATCTCCCCAGCCTCGACTCCGTCAGCCGACACGCGCTCCAGGAACTGTTGGAGCAGTCCCTGCGTATGTTGTTTGACTAAGTCTTCAGCAAAACGAGGAGGTGGGTGTACGGTTGCCGCCTTGCGTACCCGGACTGGGTCGTCCGGCTGCTGTAAATGCAACTTGGCAGCGTGGTGATCGGCTGAGACCGCAGGGGCGACGACTTCCCAGCCGACGACCCATGCACGTAGCAGTCTGTTGACGTACCAGCGGTCAAGGCGGGATGAAGCGTCCCCATGACCAGCCACCGGATAGTGATAGGTGTGCGTCTCGGTATGGTGGCGGCGAAGTTGATCCGGCCGCCATTGCTTGGGTCTGACAGCTGCTACCGGATCGATGACGCCCCATGTCACGAGCAGATTTCTGAGAGCAATAGAATCATGCGCCCCCGCGCGCGTAGTGTAGCTTTGGTCAGCCTCCTCGTCCAGCGTACAGTTGAAATCGCCACCCACTGCAACAAGCGCGTCACTCGGAAGTTCTATGGTTGCTAAACGACGGAAGAATCGCTCGCGTTGGGGAATCTGATGAGGCGCGTACACGTTGATGACGACCAGCGGGCGACCATTTAGGTGTCCTCTGACCGCCATGAAATGCTGGCTCCACTGATCCTCTAGGCATGGTGTCACGTCCTTGAACTCCCCGTAAGGGTCTACCAAGATCGCGACACCAGCTTTTTTTCCTAGTGCTGGCGACCAGAAGGACCTGGTGGGGCACTGAGGACCGGTGCGGAAACCCCAACCAGAGGCAAATAAGTCCGTGAACTTCACTACTTCTGGCCCTTCCACGTGCGTTTCCTGGAGGAGAATAACTCCATTCCTTCCATGATCACTTTGCGTTCTGAGACTGCGGAACCAGGCGTCCCTGTCGGAGGCCCGAGCTCCAAAACCATTCACATTTTGCGTAACGCAGCCAAACGTTTGGTCTGTAGGATGCAGTCCTGTGGATCGAACGCCCAGCGGGTCCATGACCACCCTTTCTTCTTCTCGGAGTTGCATGAGCCGCTTTCGGCGGTCCGCTCTGAACCGGTTCCGCGTTTGCTTGGCCTTCGCGACGCCTGTGACGATAGGAAAGAAGTCGCCCAGACGCCGTTGTCTTACTTGACGCTGTCGAGACTGTGCTGTCGCGACAATAGCCCGCGGCCCAGCACTGGCCCCCTCTAGCGTATCCATGCCTCGCCCCTCTCGAAGCGGGGCCCTCTGATACCGCATGGAAATTGCATCAGAGGTGTTGTGGCACATTGTGCCTTTATTTGCGGCTTGGAAGAGCAGCACGGAACTTCGATGTGTCCGTCAGCTCATCCCAATTCAGGCCTGTGTGGAGCTTGATCACTGCTCCCCAGTTTCCTTGTCCAATTCCCATACAACATTGCTCCACCATGCGTACCAGTGCGCTAAGGAACCGAGAGGCACTCTCCCCATTGGCGTAGCTCCCCACTGCCGCACAACATGTGGTAACACGTGTAGGGTGGTCCATATCGAGTCCGGCATCGACCGCGGTTGTCCCCGAAGGTATTTATCCGCCAGCCATTCACTGAGGGATGCCCACCCACTATCAGCCGCGGCCATCTTAAAATTGTTCCCGAGGTCAGGCCCATTTGCATTTTCTAGCCACTGTTGGCTCAGCTTGCGGAGGTCAGCCGGGCGATCTTCATCTTGGCTCATACACCTCGGAGTACCACCTACTAATAGCCGTCGTGTTGTCATGGTGGGCGGTCTGGAGCTTTATCCGCAGCGCTGGGGTCAGTTCGTCAGGACTTTGTGCGTTTAGCACGGCCTGATAGACGCGTGCGTGGATCTGACCGCTCGGTTGAGAACGCTGCCGTGGAGGCATCTCAGCACCGACGGCCATCCCGGGAATCCTCTTGCCGATTGCGTAGTCGTCCATGCCCGCAGCGGCGAAATCCTGCGTTCCGCTTCATGCATCAAGACTTCCATCTCGTCCACCTGATACTCGCAGTCATCCAAAATCGGCCAACACATGCGGAGATGGACGACATCCAAGCGCTGCCGCATAGTGAGGCTGCGTTGTTGGTATCTTCGGTATCGTCGAGCAAATCTAGCGGGATCCCTCCGACTTGCACTTCAAACCCGACCTGCGTCCGGCTTTTCTCCCCAATGTTCCTCACCACCACGTCAGCAGGCCTGGTGAGGAGGCCGTCACGCCACTCAAATGGATGCGCGACCTCGGCCGCAAAGCTGGATCGCCTTCCGCTTGCCATTTCAGGAAGAGCTCTCCATGATGAACTCCATAGAAATGACTTTCGTGCGTCCGGAGCAGCAAGATCATGGGGAGGACATGAAGCCTCCGACACATGCGCAGATATGCCGTAGCGTCGTGATCTTCCAGCGCCGTGTAGCTCCCTGTCTCGTGGATCAGAGGTTCAGAGCTGCCCGGTGTCTCCAATTCATATTCCTGGTAAGTGTAGATTTGTACATGTCCGTCACCGTGGACATCGACGTCCATGGCCATCAATGGCTGCCGGAGGTACTGAGCATAGGTCCTCAGCACATGAGGGTTGACCCAGTTCGTGCTGGGAACTCGGGTATCGACCGACCGGAGACGTTCATGAAGAAGATAGGTGCACACAATCGCGATCGCCGCTTCCTTAGTCTTGGGGTGCTCGCAGCCCGGGTTCAGGCGGTCGAGTTCCGTAAAAGGGTCCAGGATCCCCAACTTGCAGTCAGCCTGCAAGTTTTCCACCATCAGCGCATAGATCGCCCGCTTGTGAAAGGTGGCGTCAGCAATTACTTCCGGGGTAAGTGGTAAACTGCCATGCTCTTGGTTCGATACCGTCGCGTATAGAGCAAGAATCGCACACTGCCCGTTAGCAGGAACGTTGACCTCCCTGCCTTGAAACCAGGACAGCCAGTAATTGACCTGTGTTGGGTTCGTGCGGGGGGGGGGGGGGGGGAACGGTTTTCTCGTAGACAACACTGGTGTCCGACGCCTGGCTCGCATCGGACGCTTGGCTTTCCTTCCCCCAGGCACCCGCTGAGCAAGCTCGTCCGAAGGCAAATCCGATGCGCTGGATACGATAGAGTAAGGAGCCTCCGAACCTGGTGTAGGCGCAGGAGGTGGACTTTGGGATGGGGCCGATGAACCAAGATAGCTCGATACTGGGGAGGCCGTCTGAGCAGGAGCTGGAGAAACCCTTTGAGCCTCTGAAGAAGACCTTACCGAGGAGATACGTGAGGCAGCCAGCTCAACGTACTCCGTGCGTTCTACTGCATCTGCCACGGCTCGCTGGCGGCGACTGGCGCGCTGTGCACTCCGCTGTTGCTCGGCTGCAGACGTGTCCGGTGGAGTCGTCTTTTCGGTCAAAGCATGCTCCTCGCCTTCCTCCGCGACCATCACCACATCCTGGTCCGTAAGGACCTCCTCGTCCGGGAACGCATAACCAGCGTCGTCTGGTCCCATGTCCTGATCTTCGTCTCCAGTGTCACCATTGGCGACCGAGGCAACATCCGACTCGGACTTGCTGTCATCGTCCATCAGCGCCTGATATTGGCCGTATTCTCGGGCTTGCTGGAAAAGTTTGAAGGACGTTTGGTGTCCTTGTCCTCCCGGTGAAGACGCGTTTTTTTCTTGGCGGGCTTGGGGACCAAGATGCGCTGCGGGGCCGCAACCATGGTATGTTCTATGCGGATACTTTGTAGTTCGGGCTAACAAAGTGCGACTAAGTAAACAACACAGGACCCGTACAATAGAGCGTGTTTTACCCTGCAACTTCCATCTACTGAGAGTAACTCTGACGTGGGAATGTATATTCAGCTGATACCTGTCACGTAACTCTACTAACAGTACTTCCAACAGAAAAAACTTTTTACATGCGCACAATCGAAATGGATAACATTTGAACTCAATAAAAGCCCACCGGAGCGAAGCGGAGGTGGGCGGCCCTCACTACTACGACTAACCACAAAACTATCCGCCGCGTAGCGGCGGCGCTCGGCTAGTCCTACAGACAACGACTTACAAAGCCGGCATGCCTAATGCCATCCTCCTATATAAAAACAACGACAAATTCCCTCCCGTCAAATCTGTAAAACTGTCATAAAACACACGGTGTGTTGCATAAAGTACACAAGAAAGCATATAAAGTACACAAAACCAGATGGTATACAAAGATGAAGTCATTTGATTGAATCTGATTGGCTGGCTTGCTCATGTTAAGCTTTGCTTGACTTCGTCTGCCGGCTTTTTGTGTCTGCCCGCTTTGTAAGTCGTTGTCTGTAACCATCTACTAGAGAGACTTTGTCCACTTTATAGGTGGTCCACATAATCGTACATAGACAGCCTTGGACGCCGAAGGCGGCCCCATCACAAGCTGCCGAGCGCAGCGAAGGCGGCACCCGCGTGCGTTTCTAGCGGGCCGCAGGGCCCGCCCTACAACTATGTACTAATAACACGGCGAGGCGAGCGGAACGGGGGCGATTACGTCACCCCCGCCGTGACGCTTGGCCTAATATAATACTTTTCGGAACACCTGCTATTAATTAAAACGGGCCCACCGAGTAGTAGCAGCTATCGCTGGGGTCAGGCACCCTACTACTTAGTATAATAGCGCTGTAGCGAGGTTTGCTTCATTTAAACACATGCTACGATAATTGAGTGAGCGATGGTAGCGCATAAGTTAGCGATAGCGGCGGAGAGTAAGCGATAGCAGCTGATAGTAAGCGATAGAAGCGCATAGTAAGCGACAGCAGTGCGCGCACATATGTGGAAGGCGTTCACTGACGCGCATAGCATATTTTTACTGTAATTATTTAAGAATGTGCATACTTAAGTAATGTAGCGGTAGGTTAATGCGTTATCGGGGTAGTAGATATTCTGACATTCAATGAGCTGGAGCTTTTTATTATAGTAGAAATTCCTTCTCTAATCATGTTATTGGATGGATATACATGCAGGAAACGGAATTAGCATAGCGTAAACGCATAGTTACGGGGTAAGAACTTCTTATTTTCAATCCCTTAGCTACTGTAGCGATAGGTGGACCTGCCATGCTACTTACTGTAGTACAATAGCAATGTTGGCTCAATTCAAACACATAGTAAGCTATAGAAGCGTATAGATGGTTATAGCAGCACGTAGTCAGCGATAGGACGGCATAGTTAAGCGCTAGCAGCACGTAGTAAGCGATATGAACGTGATAGCAGCACGTAGAAAGCTATAGGAGCACGTAGTAAGCGATACCATCAACGTTGTAAGTGATAGCAGTGCGAGTACATGTAGAGCAATGTGAGCTGAAGGTGGATAAACTATTTACAGCGCGCCCAGCTTTTTTTTACTATACTATTTTTTTGGGGATAAGCACAATATAGCAACCGAGGCCACTACATGTGCCTATCGGTGGGATAATCTGTTATGGGATATTTTAATTAAACTGAGGGTGTTATTGTGTATGTGCATGTAGTTCATACGACATGCCAACATTGAAATCCCTCTGTCGCTACCCACACTCTATCATACCATATTATTGGGCCGTGCATACCTGTATGCTAATTGCACGGGACGGAATAGCGCACGGTGTACTGCATCGTGATTGCATGCAAAGTTCTTACTTTTCATCACTATTTAAATGTACGTACTGCAGGTGGCACGGGAACAGCGTAGCAGAATAGAAACGAGATAATTACGCATAATTTTGACATTTTGAAGTAGACCACGTAAAATTATTGGCGTTTGCAGAGGGACGATGCAGCACGATAAATACACGGAATTTTTTTAACAGGCGTCGCCTCGGTGCAGGAACTTTTAGACCTTTCCGTGCAACTCAAAACTGAGGCCCTGGAAAACGGCCCCAATGAGCTCGAAAGCGGTATTAATCCAAAGGGCTTGTTCTCACGAGCACAATGGTAGCCGACATAGTCGCTTACGCGAAGTAGTTATCGCGTTATGGCCTCTCCGAAATGACGAGTTGAGCGACTCTTCGTCGTAAATTACAGAATATATTTAAATCCGGTAAGATATCAGAAACGTCTTGTGGTGGTAAATATGACTGACTGGCCTCGTAGTGCTTAGCTCTTTATTGGTCGCAGACCCTCGGTATAATTCATCCACATGATGCTACGGTGAGGCATACCAAAACACAACAACTGACAGAGCACGCGTATCACCAGAGTCCGTTGGTGTCATGGAAGGCGCTTCTTCCCCCCTTCCTTCCTTCCTCCCTCCCTCCCTCCCTTCCTCTCCCCTTTCTCTGGTGTCTACAGTGAGTAGCTACCGCTCTAAAATGACGTTGATAATATTATCAACCCAACAGTAGCTACAATATCAACTAGTGCCCGTGCATCTACACCTTTACCTTGTATGCAAGGTAATCTAGTGGCTTTCTTCTCGTATATTGTTGCAGATATTGGACGGATACTCTATTGCAAGTATCCCTCCTATAGATTGAAGCAATGATAAACGATTAGAAACGAAAGCGGGGAGGCAGTAGCAGAGTGAGCGCGCTTAGCAGCTTCGATTTGATAGATTATGGTGACTCTAGAGAGCTATTCGCAGCCTGACACGAATCTCTCATTGGTTTGTATTTACCTCGTGCTTTTCCAGAAGTCGCATCGGAAAGGTCTTCCTCAAAACGTAGATAGAGTTGTCAATGTAAGTGGGGTGCCATCGTCCATGTGACGCGAATTCGTTTCGCTAGGTTAAACAAGTCCCGACAAGATCCATTGGAATGCATGTCCTGTATTTTGGCACTTTGTAATCCGTTGTTGGTGCGAGATCGTGATATTTTTTATACTGGGGTTGTGAAGACCAAGCTACTTGCATTCAAACTGTTATTGTTTAGTCATTGATTGACAGTGAGTTTACGATTGTGGGTCTAAATAAAGTGTTGCTTCTTATGCCTTCCAGTTAGACGTCTCCACCTTCGGTAGCCACACTTCCATTGACCTGGCTTTGGCTGAATTGCTTGGAATTCGTCGGTCTCCTAGGTGGCAATGCCTTGCCAGATTTCTTCTGCTTCTGTAGAAGGGCCGATATTCTTGAGCGTATTTCGTTTTCGCCTGGCAAATTGTAGCGTCGAGGATACGCTTTCGTAAGAAATTCTCGCATTCTGGCCGGTCCCATCTTGGTACTGGCATCAGCCACCCCGCGATTGAAGAGCTTCTCCACTTCTTCACTGTACAGAGCAATATATTTTGCACCGTACATGTACCCTTTCTTCTGCCGGCGAGCCCATCCTGGCGCTAATTGTTTGTGCTCTCGAGTCATTTTGACGCACTTCTTCGCCGCTGCGATTACCTTTCTGCCCAGACCGGTTGACTCAATTATATCACTAAAGTCCCCCCCTGTTTGCATGTCCATAAGACCCCGCTTTGCATAAGCTTCGACGTCTTTTTCAGAAAAGTCACGGCCGTGTGGGTCATTACCAAGTGTGGGGCGCTCACATCTCATATCGCTCGTCCGCATCCGTAGTTGACCAAACTGAGTAATTTGGATTCCTGATAAAGCACCAATAGAACCACCAGGAAGCGCCACAACTGTTGACGTTTCACTTGTGGCTTCTGCGTCATCCCCAATTGGCTCAAACTGCTCACATTCATCTTCACTGTCACTACTAAAATTACCTAATTCGATGTCACTGTCCAAAGTGTCATCACGAAGATCCAATTTCTGGCGATTACGGTCATGAGTCGTATTGCAGTCGCACCGACCAAGTGTCGGACACACACACACTATGCATCCATCTCCAACACCAGAATATTCAAATATCGTGAGTTTGAACGATGGCCACGTTTTGACGTCAAAACGCTCTTTCCATAGTGAAGGGAGCATAAAAGGCGGGTGGTCGTAAACGACCTCATTGAAACGAGTAAAAAGTCGGCCTAACGACTTCGCCAACGGCTCCACCGCTTCGTAAACAAACTTCATCTTGGCGCGATTGTATTCCACTAACTCCACTATACAATTCGGAAGACCGCCATCAGACGTTAAAGCTGTTACCACTTCCTGCGGGGTTGTAGCGTCGTGGCCTTGACAAACCCAAGCTTTCACTTTACGCGTTGCAGTTGCAAAATGGGCATCTAGGACGCACATCCCATCTTGGGTCTCAGAGTGGATGAACCGAACGACCTCGATATTGTTCAAAGCGCCAACGAGAGGAAGCATGAGCGCTAGATACGTGTTTTGATAACACGAAGCATTATCGGACTGAAACGTCACGCGCTTGATAAATGGGAACGCTCGGTGAACCGACAATAATATCCCCTCAACTAATGCGACCACAGATTCTTTAACCTGTTTGTTATCCCCGTTTGAAATTTGATCGACGTACACTTTATTTTCGCGAGCAGAACCACTGGCAGCATCATACGTCCAGTAACGAAGTAGGGCTCCATGCCACGGCATTCCTCGTTTCCCATAGTGATCAACAGTCTTTTCGCGGAAATAGATTGGCTCAAGTTTCATTTTGAAATCAATGACAATGATCGCATCACTACTGCCCCTTTCATCCATACACTTGGTTTTTATAAGTTCAGCAGTTTCCTGAATCGCCCGCTGCTGGT